TAACTTGACACTAACCTCTTCACAATAGCCTATCTTCATCGTGTCAAGTTACCTCTGACCACATTCGATTGCCCCCGCCGCCCGCCAATCAAATTTAAAGCCCGCACTCAATGACTCATTGAACGATCTAGCCAATGAACGCGAACGAGTCAAAGCGCGCTTTGTTCAAATCCGGACCAATCAAAGATAAGGCTGAATATCAGGGACTTGCCGTAACCTGTGGGCAGCACGCAAAATACATCATCCCTCAGTAGATAATGATGCAGGGCCTCAAACTGCTCTGGTTTCAATTCCGATATACTTTTATTTTGCAAAGAATCAAGAGATAACTTAACACATTATTTTACGTAGTCACTCGTAGAGGACGCCATGCTTTCTTTGTGTACGGTTATGCACTCGGCACTACTCGGATGTCTCTGCACTCGACAATAACTTTGTTGTTAGTATGGAGCTTGCGGAATCAGCCGAGGATTACCGATTGACGGTCAACCAATCAGCGTTTTCACCAAACTTTGGTGAAAATTTTTGAAACTTGGATTCGATTGGCTTATATAAACTAGGTCAAACTATTTTCGTCAGAGGTAACTTGACACGATGAAGATAGGCTATTGTGAGGAGGTTAGTGTCAAGTTATCTCTGAAGCTCAGGGTGACTAAACGGCACTTACCTTGCGGATATCCTGCTTGTTATGCGTCAAGTGCAGACGGCTAGTCTACAGACCACTTAAAAAGGCATGTGTACTCGTAACAACTGCTCACAAAATGATGACCTAACAGTCTTATAATACAATCAGTCACGCGTGCGGAAGGCCAGTCCTGACTGCCTTGTGGTCAGTGGAAAATGCTTTTTTTCACGGGTATAACCTATATTTCAATGGTTTCATAAACATAGACACAAATAACAGAGACAATATGTTTCACATATATTGCAAAAACAAAATGTCCAATATGATTTTAGCAGAGAAACTATCAATTTTAAAAGGCTTGATTTCATCAAATTATGCTGATTTGTCAAACCGTTTTTCATTGACGGGTAGCAATCTAGCTGCGGATAATGTTCTCTCTAACCGTATGTGTACACGTCACTAGACAGCAAAATATGATGACCTAAACGTAGTCGTTCGCCTTAACGTACAGGTGCGAAAGATCTCTAATGTGTGTACTACTACTACTACTACTACTACTACCAGCAGGGACGGATCCAGACATATTTTCTGACAGTCTTCCAAATTATCTTTATTGGTCCATCCTTCATTTTTGACCGTCTTCCGACAGAAAAAAAAAAAAAAGATACTCGTCAATGTAAACTTGAAAATCTGGCCGTCTTCCGGAAGACTCAGAAGACGGCCTCAATCCACCCCTGACTACTACTACTACTACTACTTCTCACGTGTTCCACAGCGAAAGAAGATATCCACACAGAAATACAAGAAGGATCATTGTAGATATTCGTATGTACATCACTTTCATCATGGCAGGACTGAACGAAAGGGCTGTCCTAAAAGTAAAAGAAAAAGAAAAGAGACTTCGTACTTAGTCGCTAACAATAGTGACCTGGACACACCTTCCAAAAATGTTTTAAGTTTGTGTCACTCTGACTAGGAAGATAATGTTGCATATATCTGTCTCATCGTTTATCACTTATTCTTTTGACAAACGTCGTTGTGGCAACGTTACGTGCGCAGAACGTACGAATACCACTCGGGCCCTTGTTTATACCCCCGTCACACTTATTAGGAATCAGCAGGAATAAAAAAGAATGAGCCTGAACGAAGAACTTTTAAAATTCACACCACATTCGGGGAAAAATTTCAAATTGACCTTAATTATTGTAAGAGTACCGTTGGAATACTCAGAATGCGCTTGAATTCGCCTGGAATGATGAATGCACTTTCGACTGCATTAGCTCTCAAAAGCAGTTGGAATGTAGTTGGAAAACTAGGAATGTTTATAATGCTGTAAGAAGGCAGTAAGAATATTAAGAATATACTTTGAACGGCGCCATAGTGTAGTTCGATTGCTGGCAACATTAATATTTCAGCTCATCCGAGGCACATTCGAAACATTCTGGCGGGGTATAAAATCCCCGTCACACTAGAGGCGGAATGATTAAGAATGGCGTCTGAAATACAATATTTGTGCATTCCAGGATATTCGAAGAGCATTCTAAAAATATTATAAAAATTCTGAGTGCATTCCAAATATTTTTACCCATTCTTGTGGCCGGCTCGAATGTTTTTGTCATGTCAAAAACTTTTGAAGTGCATTCCAAGAGGAAATTTATTGCAATATCACTACAATATTCCAACTACATTCGAGCTGCATTTGAGAGGTAATATACCTGGAATGTGCAAGAATCATTCCAGGCGGGTTCGTTGTGCATTCTTATTATTCCAGAGGCATTCTTATAAAAGCCGTAATATTTTATGATAATTTGAAATTCTCTCCCGAATATGGTACGAATTTTTAAATTTAGTAATTCCGGCTTGATTCCTACTAATTTCGAATAAGTTTGACGGGGGCTTTAAGTCACTTGTCGGTTCGAATATTCTTCTAATGTGATCAGAATATTTAGAATACAGTCATAGTGCAGTTAGAATACTGTTCAAATGCCATTCGATAAATTTCCACTTGGAATGCACTTCGAAAGTCTTTGACATGACAGAAACATTCGGGATGCCACAAGAATGGGTAAAAATATTTAGAATGCACTCGGAATTTTTAGAATGCTCTTCGAATATCCAGGAGCGCACAAAGAATTGTCTTTCCGACGGCATTCTTGCTCATTCCGCTTCTAGTGTGACGGGGGTATTAAGGCATATCAAAAAACTTTGTTTCAAAATGAAGATACGTAGCTCTCTTTGCTTTACGACATTTGAAATGATCGTGGAGGAGGTAATGTTTTACAGAAGAAACACGATGACGCTCAAAAATCGAGCGTTGTGGAACGATCGTAAAAAGAATGTCTCATTCAGAATTCCACTTGGATGTGATTCCCTTTTTATTTGAAATTGAAATTTCTAGAGTCATATTTTTTCCTTGTCATCACCTTCAAGCCACGAAGAGGAACAGAAGATTATATCAAATCCTCCTATTGTATTGAGTGGTCAAATAAAGATTTTGATTTGAAATTAATCCTGGACGGCCAACCCAATAGCCGATGCCACAGTAACCGAATTTGTCAGTTTCAGCTCCAGATTATGATTATCTATGCATGTAGCAGGCCCGTAAGTTTTTTTTTTTTTTTTGGGGGGGGGGGGGGGGGGGTTCAAACAAACCATCGGGTAAAAGTAAAAATTGATCTCGATACACAAAGGTCTCATGGAAAATGTCCACAATTAAAATGTTTGAAGTTGCTGGCTATAGGTCTTGGTGCACATAGTAGTTAAGGGCCTGCACCTTTTAACGGCTTTAGACTTATTTATATCGTGGAGATTTATTACAAACAAACATAACCATAACTGATATCTACACAACTAACAGTATCTCGACAATCTGTGAACTTCAACGCAATTCAAGACTATCCTTACCTCAGTATTCTCTTTGGTTCTGGCACTTGTTTGTGGGAAAGGATTCTTAAGAAAAAAAAACTTATCTCGTGCAGCATTAATCCTCTTTTATGTCTGCATGACACGAAATGTGGTCTTCAAGACGCGTAGACTGCCTTAGGAATTGCAGATTTTAAACATTAGTCGTGTATGCCAGTATAAAAAACATCAAATATGCATGCATATGGAACTATTGGCAACAGCTTTCAAATCAGCGTATTTCTTTCTGTATATGTACCGGTACCTGTTTGTCAAGTTGTATGGTTTCTACTGGTATATTCACGGCTTATGTAAACGAATACTAAAAAGAAGGCTGCGGGTGGATGACGGTTGCACGTAAATCTCGGATAATTAATAAATTATAAGTTCTACATAAAAACCCAACAAGAGAGAGAGAGAGAGAGAGAGAGAGAGATAAATGTTCATCAAAAGCAGTATAGCGTATAAACGATGATAAAAGATTTATCATAATCACGGCGCTGGGTACAGTCACCCGACGAAGGCGCATTCACCGAAAGCTTGGGCGTTTTTATATCTATTAAGTTGATCTGTATGGATGCCAATATTTATTAGATTTATTTATTACATGAATGACTAGATTGTCTGTTTAACCAAAGTGCTTTCAGATCCCTGCAAGTCTTTTTAACGGCAGTTGAAATGTCATATCATCTATTTCAGCACGCAGGAGAGTGGTTTTCCAATTAAATAAAACAAATGCTTGTCCACATGTCAGGGGAACGGCAAGTAAACTGATATATTTCATAGCGTTTTAGTGATAGTTATCACGTACTTTGGAACAAAAGTAAAACAGCTACATTTTGCTTTTGTTACAAGAGCATCGTCAGGCTGAATGCCTGCACATCCTTTGGTGTTGAAAGACCCGTGCACGATTCTTATTTGGGGTAGTAATTGGCGGTAGGCCTATAACCCAAAGGTGCAATTCCCATTGCAAAACCGATCCTCTCAGAATCTCCAAAAATTTAAAGAGGGCCATTCTGAAACCGTAGAAATTAAGGGAAAAAAAGAAAAACTTAATAGTAGGGATTTATAAAAAATTGGGTGTTCTTTTTGGTAAGCCAAATACTCTTGCTCCTTCGTATCTATAATACTTTGATTTGAATCCACGTTTCTTGCATGGGTCATGGTCCATGCGGCCTTTTTGTAAGGTGACTTTCCGGCGGCAGTGTATCACTGGTGGCTCTTTCAGTTTTTTAACTGAATGACAAATGGTTTTTGAATGAAATACAATCAAAACAATATAACATCTATGCAATAAATCATGAACTTTGTTATATGATCCAAGCCACAAGAAATAATAACAATTCGATATCGAAAAGAAAAAAAAAGCAAACTCTCCAAATGATCATATCGTGCACACAAATGCACATTGCTTTATTGTACAATTAAAGTTAAAAATAGAGTAACTAAAAATGTGGATATTCCAGAATGACCAAGTGGAACTCAACGTCGTGATTTATAAAATTCAACATATTCTTTAAAATGTTCCATCACTTCCTCTTCTGTCAGCTTATAGCGCTTGAAATCGTACTTATGGCGGCCATATTTGTTTTGAGGATGTTCCCTGACGTAAGCGCTCATCTTCGCTTCCGCTTCCGATGTCAACCTCAAGCCAAAATACTTGTAGATTTGCTTCACTACAGCCATGGGAGAACCAACAATATCTTTGTAATCTATATCGCAAAATCGATGTTCTTCTTCTGGGTGGCTCTTCCGAAATTTCACCATCTCATTTCCACCGTTGATCAGCGGGGATCGAAACATATCTTGGCCAATGAGCCCTAAATCTATGTCCTTTGGCTCAAACCCTAGACTTAGCATTAAGCCCTCACATAGAGAGCTCATAGACGCCGTTGCCTGGCAGGGGTCACGGTAAGTGTTAATAAAGAGAGCGTCCGGGTACACCTTTAGTATTACCTCCAGGTTCATAGCATGGGAGGACTCCTTGAAAACGAGCTGTTGGTTATTTTCCAGGGAATCTTGAATTAAACAAATGCTTGAATTAAAATTTGGCTCTATCATTAGGCCGGATAGATATCAATATTTAACGCTGCTATTTTGTTTAATATTTTGCATACACAGGTATGCATGCATACGGCTGTCAAAGATCTAACACCCCATTTCCATAGATTAAATCGACCTACTTTAGATCGACCTAAATCCCTGGGGGTTCCCGCTAAATAGCTGTCAGCCGGGCGGACACGAAAGTTAATTACCCCCTTACAGCTTGTAGTAGGCGGGACGGACATTTAAGTCTGATTATGTGAATGTAATCTAGTGAGACTCCCCGCGGGGATAGATCGATCTAAAATCTATGGGAATAGAGCCTAAGATTACATTTAAGAGGCTTACACAAAAACATTTTACACAGTTAAGACACAGTTCAACGTGTCTTTTTTGCAAGACATATATTTCGGTAATCATGGAAAATGAAAATAACTTTCAGCAGAGATTGAGAGAATTGACGTTGAAAGGATTTTTTACGGCAAATAAAACACACAAACGCGCGCACGCGCGCACACACACACACACACACACACCTTTGCTTCTTGCCAAAAGAATGAGTTGCATTTGTAATTTATGGAATCGGTAAACTTCCACCATTTGGTCCTTGGTCAGCGTTTGTCGCCACGCCTCGTATTCCTGGAAGTTCCCTGTGATAAACCGGAAGTTCTTAAACAGCCCCATTTGGTCCATCAGATGGTAGCACTCGTACGCTCTTTCAGCGTGTACGTAATGTTGAGCTTTCAGTGCAGGCATCGCTTCGTACACCGTGGCTATTTATAAAACAAAAGATATTGATAGAAGTCAATTCTAAGGGTTAATTAGGCCATTTTTTGCAAATGCTGTAAGTAATAACTCTGTTTTAAATATTGAAGGTAGGAAAAAGATAAGGCACAAGTCTCATTTAATAAGATAATTAGGCGAATTCCATCTGTTCATATGAAGGGAGAGCTGTAACTTATTGACCCATCAGCGAATATATTGTTTTGACTTGATTAGAGTGATTTGTTGCAGAAACACAATGTTCGGAGGATGGAGCAACCATCTTTGAGCCCTGTTATTAACCTTACTAAGCATCTGTGACATCAATTGGAGTGTGCAATGCAAAGGAGCTAACAATCTGGACCATCACCGCGAAGCTCTTGAGGAAGAATGGGACAATATACTACAAAACAAAATTATTACCCTTGTTGAGGGCAGACCGCGCCGCCTACAGGAGATAATAAAGGGTACCGGAGGAGATCAGCATTGGTCAGAATTGAGCCGGAAGTGACGTGTAGTGGTGTAAGAGGTAAAGCTGAGTGGTCATTTAAAGCTGGAGGTGGATGGAAATGAAGACGTGGGCTTGGAGAAAAAAGAAGTTATTCTAACAACACGGTAAGATAACATTTGATCTTTTTGGGGCAGAGAATACTTGTGGAAACAATATGAAAACGTGTCATGGAACTTGAAGGTGCAAAATCGTACTAAATTTGCAGTCAATTTGTTTTGAAACACATGCTGCATCGACCGCCAGCGCGACAAAGCGCGTAAAGGAAAAAGAATTCCCGGGAGTCTATAAATCGTTGTCATGTGGAATTTTGACGTTTATATAATCTGTTATGTCCGTATCTAAGTATTTTCGGGTGTTTTATTTTTTATCTTATTTTTAGACAAAGAAGATGGGAATACCTAACGCTCGTTGTTCGGTCAGAAGTCTTTGTTCCTTGCCTCCTACGATAATATCTTCCACTGGGTGTATCGTCTCGTAATATCTGGGTGAAGTATTCCTAGGATCCTCGTACAGAACATCTTGGAGGAAAGTCGTCCCAGAGCGACACGGACCAATGATGAATATTGGCTTCTTGATCTGACACTGAAACGATGAAAAATAAAAGAAAAAATAACAGTAATAATGATAAAAATAATAATAATAAATAAAAATTGTACGGCACCCTGTGCGACTTCAAGTAATCAGGGGGACAGCGACCCTCGCAAGACATGTCCTTTATTTTTTTAGCGCACTGCCTGTCTTTACACCTACCGTGTACCTACTAGACGGACCCCGGTTTGGGAATTAATAGATAGCTAGATAGATAATTCATTCCAGTAAGTACAAAGTATTTTTACAACCCCAGAATATATATATATATATATATATATATATATATATATATATATAATCAGCGAACCAAAAACAAAATCATAATTATACTCAAGTTGGACTAGTCAATATAGCCTTAATATATGTTAATAAAACGACAACATAATGTTTAGCATTAGGAAAACGAACAGTTAACAGTATATATCAAATGACACACATCGCGTATTGGTCCGCCTCCCAATTAATTTTCTACCGTGCTAAAATTTAACGCAGGATGTTCCTTACGTATATAGAGCTTGCCACAGAACAAAAACACAAAACATGTTCTACTGCTTGGATGTCACCGGTACCACAAAGACATTTCCGATCCTTTAAGGGGACGCAGGGCCTGTCAGGTTGTGTGAGGACACCCTACCTGTATCAGGTTGCAATGATTCTCTCAAACTCCCTGACGTCCATATCAATATAAATATCTGAGACAGTTAGATCCTATACAATAAAGCCTTACGATTTTGGGACAGACGCACCCTTTTTTAAAGTTCAATAAGTCAGTTTCCTCATGTGCTGCAAAATACCATTTAGGTATTTCAATGCGTTTGTATTGACCTGGTTACATGTAGTCCAGGTATATAAAAATTGGGTCATAATGTACCTCCTCTCGTTGTTCGAGAGTCTTTACCCTCGATTAAAGCTGAGCAGTATTCACACGAGCTTCTGCACTACATAAACAATTAAAGGTCAACTATGCATGCAAGGTGAATAAAAAATGTAGAACTTAGAGCAAAAATATATTGTAATACACAGACCTTCGAAACGTCAACAAACGCCAGACGTCTGGATATGGCAAGTCTGTTTTGAAGAATTTCTGTCCATCTTGTTTCAACAACCTTTCTCCCTGACACAGACAACGCTTTGTCTTCGCGGTAACACTTCAAAAGAATACAAAATCCTTCGTACCACCACCGACGAGTGAGGTCTTCTGACAGAATAACCCTTCGCTCCTCGACGGTGAATTTTCTCCACAGACTTTCCTCCATGAGAGGACTCAGTCTGGTCCGAAACACAACGCGGTACACCCAATCCAGCAATATATGGAAATATGGGAGGCAAAACGCGTATATATCTTGAAAACTTGACATATTAATTGCACTTAGTCTTGTCTGGAGTATTCTTTTTTTAGCTGACTGATGCGAAGAGGTAGACCTATTAATGGAAAGCGTTACTGATGCGAAGCGGTAGGTCTATTTACGAGAAGCACGCCTGACCTTATGCTTGACCTTTGTCCCAGATAATACCGATAAATGCGTATACGTACATGTACACCTACACATCTCAAGGATCAGTTAGGTTATTAAGCTAAGGCCAGGTTAAAATCGATAATTTGGGTAGCAGTGACTTTCTGTCAATCTAACATTTTAATATTAGATGCATAACAGTTCAGGGCCCCGTGGCGCTTTCTCCTCTTTTTCATTTTCTCTGTTCTATTGTTATTTTTGGGTGGTGTGGGTTTCAACAGGGTCATAGGGGAGATCGGGGCTAGTTGGACCCCGGGGTAAGTTGGCCCCCCATCAAGTCTCTTTAATAAAGTTACTTAAAGATGCTAAATTATTTCATTTGGACTCAGTGCCGACGCTTTCTTAGCACTATTGGATACGGAAACTTTAAAAAATGATGTGATCAATTCTTTTACCCCATAGTTACTTTGTCATAAATTGATGGGGGCCAACTTAGTAAAAGTCAACCCTGCCATTGTTTTGCGTGTTTTATGCAAAAATTGACCAGCACAGTACACATTAGGTTAAATTCAGTAGTTTTGCTCTGCGCCTATCCCTCAAAGGACTTAATCTTCAATCTTAAAAAAGACCACTCATAAAAAATAACGCAGTTTACTTATTAGAGTTATCTTAAAAAACCGNTATCCTCTAACTGTCCTGATAATGTTAACAGCGCATACAGTACATAAACGACGAAGACCATTCTGTTATTTTACAAATCTAAAATATACACATACCTATAAAGATTTCCAATCAACCAGACTGCAAACAGGGAATGTCCAGCTCAGTAACAAAAACCTGTAGTCACCTCCTATTTTGAGGTATGTTTGTTATCAATTAAGATAAAGTCCACATCTAATGCGCAGACGTAACTGGCAATGCTTTATCTCAGGTCATTAAGGTCGGACAACAATGGTACCGATATGACGTACTTTATCAATACAGGAGCAAATGATAAAATAAAAAAAATTATTAACAGACTACTGTTCGTGTATGAAGTATTATAGGAGAATGATTTTGAAGCATTGTTTTATGATGCTCCCTGATATTTAATCCTTAAAGCATTCTAAATGATTTCATTTTAAGAGGAAAAGCACTCAGTAGGCCTACAATCTCCGGCAAGAGAAATAATTAACTATTAGTATTAATTGTATTGATTAACTCAATTTCGGTATCTGGATGATAATAAAGGCCCCGGAGGTTTACAATATTCTTCAGGTCGAGATTAACGGTGTAACGAGACAGAGAGTCCCCATGATAGAGAGTAGACGATAAGTGAAAGCCTGATCAGAAAAATCCGGACCGGATTTCTATCTGTGCTGGCTCAGTTCAATTGGACAATGTAAAACAAACTCTCTGATATCAGGTGCTAAAATGAAATAATTATACATTTACATTTTGTGTGGGTGGCCAGACGAAGGACATGCGTCCCCTCTTTGCCAGACCCGCCTATGATTTGCAAACTGCAAACATCTAAATCCATTTCAGAATCTTAAAGATATTTATATAATATGAGAGATTAAAGAAGACTACAAACTTCTATTTAACAAATTTATTCAGTTAAAGTAAAAGTGATACAGAAAAGATGCAAAATGTTCCACATGTATCCAACTAACAACAAATTGGCATAATATGCAGTATATTCATTCTATAATAATAATAATAATAATAATAATAATAATTATAATAATAATAATTATAATAATAATAATAATAAAAAATAATAATAATAATAATAATAATAATAATAATAATAATAATAATAATAATAATAAATAATAATAATAATAATAATAATAATAATAATAATAATAATAATAAATAATAATTATAATAATAATAATAATAATAATAATAATAATAATAAAAAAATAATAATAATAATAATAATAATAATTATAATAATAATAATAATTATAATAATAATAATAATAATAATAATAAAATAACAGACAAAAATTCAAATATTTTGATTCTGATAATCTCATGAAATGATTGTGTGAGAAGATAGTAAGGAAAATTTTGATTTTCTCTTTCAATGTTTTTATTATACTTCAGATATCTTTATGCTAAAAAAAGACGGCAACATAAGATAATCCGATGTGAACATTATCTATGTCTCTTTTAAACTCAGTGTGGACCCAAACTTTGTTCGGGTTTCCTTAACCATGATTTGGATAGCTTCAACTATATCCCTTCTCCCGCTGGCGTCCAATGCTTTCAGCAGTTCCAGAGCATTTAAATATAATCCACTCGCGTTTCTCCATCCACTCAACGCGTCTAAAGCTTGCCGGTACGGATCGTCTTTATACTTGCGTTCGAGCTGTTTAATCCTAGGAATGACGTTGTTCCCACGGCCTACGGCAAACATAAGCCTCGAGTACACTTTGCCCCAGTCTGCCCCCAACATGTCGGCAACAACGTCCATAATGGTAGTAGCCAGTGGTTCACCCACGTCTTTCCATGTCGTCGTCACTTGGTTTTCCTTGAGTTCCACTAATTCTTTGCCGATTCTCTGGACTCGTTTGTCTTGGTACTTCTTAAGATGACTCATTTCTCTATTCAACCGGTCCAGCTTGTGTTCCAGGTGCTTCACTTTGTCATCCAGGGCAATGTGCTCGCTTAGTTTGATCTCTAGGCCGGTTATCCGTTTACTCAGCGCTTCTATGCCTTCCTTAGTATCGGACTGAAGCTTGGCGTGAGCACTTTGTACGTTTTTATGGTCTTTGCCAATTTGTTCGAGTTCGGTTCCTAATTTGGTTACTCGGCCGTGTAAACCTTTGATCTCCGCAGCGGCCATTTCTTCTTCCGTAGGGACTTTTGTGAACTCCACGGATGGTGTAGTCAGCCGCATCTGCCGCATTACCATCTCTATAATGTCCTTATTACCAGCATACTGAACAGCAACTTTGTTGTCCAAGTCCCGTATGGTTAGGTCCGGTGGGGAGCGTTCGTTTGTGGCTTTCAGGAGGAGCTTAACGACATTGATGTAGTCGTGTCTGCAGGCCAGATGCATCGGCGTCTCTCCGCGCTTATTTGTCAGATTTAAGTTTGTTTTTGCGGCGCTCTTTAATATATCAACCGTCTCGAAGCGACCGAGGAGACAACAAATGTGCAACGGCGTACTGCCGTCGTCGTCTTGAGCATTGGGATCGCATCCTAACCCAATAAGGCATTTGACTAGTTCTTTTTGTGGGCCTGTTTTCCTCAGGACGGCCAGGTGGAGCGCAGACCGCTTGTCCTTGTCACGGATATTCGGGTCACAACCCTTCTTGAGCAATTCTTCTACGACGTTAAGGTAGCCATTCTGCACGGCATAGTGGATTGGAGCGTTGTCGTCCTCGTCTTTTGCGTTAAGATCGGCGCCGCGTCCGCAGAGCAAAGTCACAATATCATATTGTCCGTTCTTGCTGGCGTAATGGAGAGCAGTGGCGTGACGTTTGTCTCTTCCATTGACGTCGGCGCGTCGATCAAGAAGATCTTCCAGAACAGCTAAACAGTTTTTCTTAACAGCTAAGTGTATGGGGAGATCACCCTGTCCGTTCTCAATGTCCAGGGTCTTCCCCTTGTGGTCTCGCTGGAGCAGGATCTTGGCAATGGCGACCTGTTTCTCAGCGACGGCGTAGTGAAGGGGCAGACATTGTTGGCTATCACGTTTGCTACTGTTCGCCCCTCGCTCCAGCAGCAACTTGACATTCTGTGCCTGGCCAAGTCGCGTCGCTATGTGTAAGCAGGTGGAGTGTTTGGCGATGCGAACTTTATTTCCCCGTGCATTATACACCTGAGCGTCGGCCAGCATGTCGATGTCTATATCAACGGCGTTGGGAGGGCTGAGAACGGTATCTAGGACGTACTCCAACAGGGCTGGCCCACCGTAACCGGCAGCAGCGTGGAAGGGGGTGATGCCGTCCTTGTCAAAGGGGCGGGTAACACAGAGTTGCTTCACTCTGTCATTATCCATTATGTCCAGAATATCTTTTACTCCCTTATGGTCTTTCTTCTTCATGCGATCTATGAGACGCCTGCCGTCCGCCATTTTGGGTTTTTACTTGTGTTATCTGAATAGAACTATCTTCTGTTTTACCTGAAAGAAAAGGGTAAAGGAATAAGCAAAATTGTTATAATTATTAAAGTCATTGAACAAAATAGATGTAAGTCATACCGCAAGTCAATCGATTGCCCCTTAATTTTCATTTAAATCATTTAAAGAAAATGTTTCTTTCGTCTAACACTAGCTACTGTAGTGCCTAATTTTTAAGATATTTTTCAAGATATCTGTACATGCGTGTCACATTATTGAGGCGAAGTCAGACTTATTATTCAAAATTACACCTATCCACTTCGCCTGCATGTGTTACCAATATATAAAATGTTTGATAAAAAATAACTAGTCATCACAAGACTGTGCAAAGGAGATTTTTAAGAATCGATCTGTATTTTTGTCTAGCTGTAGTACGGTCCAAGCTAACCATACTCCTGTCTGTCCAGTGGTACCTCGTAAATAACGGTGATAAATTATGTTAATGGCGACTAATAGCTAAAACAGTGCAGTATTAGTGCATGTATTCCAGCTGCATAGTAAAAAAACACAGGTCTACCAGAATTACAGTTTTAAAATCGTGAGGGCCTAGACTTAATTGTATATCATTTTCAAGTGCCAGGATTGAAGCTTTAAAAATGATTTTTAAAATTTTGAAGACACTGGCGCCCTGGTTTTATTATAATCAATGACAGACTGGATCAACATTGGAATTTTACTTAAGATGACTAAGAAACCTGAGGGTGGTTAATCCGAACAATTCCTTAATATTACGTAATACACGCGTTAAATTTCAGAAAATAAAATTAACTTCCTCTCTCTCGGGACAATATTTCCTTTTTGGTGGCATTTCTGTCATTTTATGTAGAAACTTCCAAATGTATCAATACCGTAAATTTAGTCAGCAACACGCGACCAGCTAAACTAGATCTAGAGCCCTAGCTAGCACTGGTTGACGGAGAGTTAAATACATTTCACAGTTTTCATGCATTATAAATATATTTATTTTAAGCTTCGTATGACCTATTAAAGCAATATGCAACTCCTTTCCAACAGTAAACAATTCAACATATGAACAAACTGTAATGAATTGGCCACATAAGCACAAGTCCACCGTATATAATACATGTACAGTAATAGATGTTTTCTTTGTCACACGCCGGGATTTAATTAAAGCAGTGATACCACTCTGACAATTATTATAATACTTACTATCTGTTCTTTACATCATGCTAGCCTACACATCATCTTACATCATATGTTTTGTTTTACTTAATCTCAGTTGTCGGCAGTCATGGAGACGGCCAGCGTCTGTTAGTGCGCAACTCACTGCCTTGGAGCAACGCGCAGGGTTCAACGCCAGACCAAGACCACGAACGGGCTAAATCAAAAAGTTCAGCCTTCATTGTTTTACCATAAGGCTAGCAGCATACGTGCAGGGGAGGGGTATTGAAAACATGCCACAAATGTTCCTATAGGACGTTCTTTGTGTAGAGGCCCCTCGTGTCAGCTCATCAAGGGGAACCCTTAACCGCGATGCAGGGTTCGTGACACTGAACTCTGAAACAAAGTTCTTCCATAATACCTACGAACAATAGATTTCGCTCTTCATTAAATAACAGTAGCGGCACAGGTAAATGTTTAAATGGTAGGAGAGCTTTATGAAAGGTGTTTGGTGCAGTGAATACAAGTGCTGTTTGTTAACAACAAAGGGCGCCCTTTCCAATGCGTTTCTTTATTTGTACATGTATTGGTTCTATTTTCTTGAACGGGCTTTAACTGAAATGGAAAAGCAACATGCACTAGCATGTTCCAGCGACTTCCCTCTTTTACTTTGTCAAATATAAATTGGGAGTTGTGCTAAATATCATTTTCACCTACCAAAGTGGCACCCGAGGACATATGAGTTAAAAAAACGGATTTAATTTATTGTTTTCATCATATAATCAAAAAAGTAATGTGGCTAGTTAATACAAAATTGAAATTTTCTTACTAACATTTCCTAATTCAAAACAAAATGGTTAAATAACGCAAACACCTAAAATAGCAATACTTCTCTCCTTTATTGTAAAGAAGGTATAAATGGAAGCAATTTGCAAGCAAGCTTCAATTTTCTACGAATAAATAATGATAAACTTGCTGTTGACAAAACAGGCATAAAAATAACTCTGAACGCTGGCTGGCTTACATGTACACTGTATCGCACAACGTGCCTTTCTTAATAATCATAACAAAATAACACTGTGGACTAGTATAGTATAGTATACATCTTGCGCTTTATGAAAGTTGAAATCCATCTAAATAAATACTAGTCTTAATTTTCAGTGTATTTGTCCCTCAAAAGTTTTGACGGAAATCAGTTTCTTATGTACATTTTAACAATTTATTATTGTAGAATAAATCATTATTGTTTTTATTTTTATCATTTTTCAAAACAATTCATTTCTGCACTGGAACATAGATTATAATGATCTCATACAATGTAATTATAATAATAATAATTATTATTATTATTATTATTGTTATCATATCAAACAAATAGTAGAATGGCGAAATTGCGTGTCAATTTCTTTGCGTTGCCAAGCCAAGTAGGCATGTTTTGTATTTTGTGCTTCAGTCTTGTTAAATCCCATAAGCTGTAGATCATTAACAGCTATAAACTGCTTTCATTTTTTCTTATATCTATGACACTAACTACAAACACTTGGGAATTAACTAAATGTTTGCTGCAGTTATGCTGCTTAATAATTCTTGTTTTTTTTCTAAACAGCATTTAACTTAAAATGTGGCACTTTTGCATCCATTGTTGGTATTACGTGTGCTTTACTCCTTTCAATTTAAAAAAATTCTATTTTGTGCAAAGAACAAAATCTTTTCATATTCATGATGAATTTTTAATAATTAAAATTACATTTAAAAATAAAACAGTAATGCAATATTTTGTCTATCTACTAATTTGCCACATTTTCATGGCCTAGCTAAAACTAATTCTTAGTTACATATTACAACATTAAACTGATATTAATACTTTCAATACACATTATTTCAGAACTAATTGCATAATGCAAAAAAAATTGATTTCCCTCCCATTTCAGTCACTACCATTAAATAAGTTTTTATTTAATATATAAAGAAGTGACTGCAAAGACTGGAAAAAGTACAACTGCAAACTTCTTCCACAATGAGACATTTATGCAATGATTAAAAGGCGACAAATAAATGACACATTTTCCGTCATCAATCCTTCGTTCAACTTCCCCACAATCAATGTTACCAAAAAGAATTATACACATGTATGTTAAGTAAATACATAACCTAACAGAGGAGATGACTAGCTTAAAGTTAATTTTGACTTCTATTTTCATGGTATCTCCCTGTACACATAGGCCTAAAGAAGTGTTGTAGTAAGTCAATGACTCCCAAGATATTGAGCAGTGATAGGAGTACTGTGCCATATACAGGGTGTCAGAAAAAACTAAGCATTTTATTCTTAAAAAAAAAAATTGGCCTACTGTATGAACTGTGATATGTTCTTTTTTTTAACATACTTGAAGTATAATTATCCAAAATACTCTAAACATATTTTTATCAATTTAAAAAATATGAATGAGACATTGATTATTCATTTTTTTAAGTCAAAGTTTAGTTTATCATACTGACACCTCCAATACTTTTTTAATTTTACTCAAAACACAACAACGTTTTTGTTTGTTTGTTTGTTTGTTTGTTAGTTTGCTTGCACCTTCTATGATCATTTATGTATAGCCATATTTGTGCATATGTAACTTTTCATAAACCCTAGATTTACACTGGAAAATGTACAAATTGTTCACAAATTAAAAAACGACGTCTCTCCACCAATATCTAATAACATATATCAACAACATATTTATCAACTCTCTTAACTTGAATCAGACCCAGCTTTTTACAACATAAATTAAAACTCTGTAATAATAAATTAAAAGCACTGCTATGCTAAGCATTTATACAAAAATATAACCAGCACATGTCATGTTACAGCAGTCACCCAACACTGTGACTGATAAATAATGCATCTCATAGCAGTATCATGACAGTGACAATAACACCTCACTAATACTGTATTAACACCACTAAACAACAATGTTGCACTGTCAGCAATACATTGCACAAGTTAACTTTATACAGGGGTCTTAAAAACTTCAACAACAGTTTATTAGTACTTTGACATTAAATCACTCTCATTCTGGGACCATCTTTAGCAATAAGCCTTACTTTACTGTGCCAATCCTGTAACTAAAGTCAGTGCTTGATGCTTTAATTTTATGTGAACTTCATCCAAGTCAGCCTCAGCTCCGTGGATAAATTCACAATCATACAAAAATCACAAAAATCTGTGATTTTTGGGCCAATCCACAGGGTTTTTCTCCTCTGCAGTACCTTTACCATTCCAAAGCATCTTCATCTGCATCTAATTCAGATTGAGGAATTTAATATGAGGGACAATCACTAAGGTTACCTTTCTTTGTGTGTGTGTGTGAGTAACAAGTAAAGTTGAAGGAAAAATATGAAATTGCCCTCACTCTTCTCTGAACCTGCAGATGAAATACTAAGTAATACTTCGCATTCCCATAGATTTTAGATTCATCTATCCCCGTGGGGAGTCTCACTAGATTACTGTCAGATAATCCGGCTTAAATGTCAGTCCCGCCTACTACAAGCTGTAAGGGGGTAATTAACTTTCGTGCCCGCTCGGCTGACAGCTATTTAGCATGAACCCCCAGGGAGTTAGGTCGATCTAGTTGGATCGATCTAATCTATGGGAAAGGGGTCTTAGTTAATGAATACACCTACACAACACTGAATACCAAATCATTCAAAATGAATACATATCTTCATTTGTTGTGACTTTTCTTCCTGTATACTCACTCCTCATGCTCATATCACTTGCATTTTGTAACTGTGAAGTTGTCTCCATGCTTAAGTATTCAGTCATGTCAGTCATGCTCCCACAGAAGCAATACCAAGTTTATTACTGTATATATTTACACCAAAGCATCCATAATAACAACATCTGTTGTGACTTTTCTTTCCATATACTCTGCACCCTACTCTCACTTGTAACAAAGAATGTAGGTGCATATGGATAAATATAAGCACCATCATTGTTTGTGCTTCGACTGTGTCTCCAATAAATGCTTCACGTCCTCTTCCCCGTGATACATAAATTTCTTCAGCAAGATATCGGCAGCGAACCCCGGCGTCATGATCCGGCTGGTGACCAGGTGCTCCAGTTCGTCCTTCTGAGCCTGCACTGATGGGTGTCTGGTAAAGATGTCCATGATATTGTCCTTGATGCTGCTCCACATCCAGATCTTCAGCTGGTCTTCTCGTTTCTTCTGGAACTCCGTCACCGCTAACATGACCTGTTTGAACTCGCACATCTTCAACCACAGCTCAGGAATGCCGTCCTTGGTTTTTGAGGATATTCTTAATACCTGGGGAGAGGAGGTGGTTCATTTCATTAACAACACGAAACGGTGCAGATTCCACAGAACTACAGCATTTTATCAATTTTGTAACTTACTCATACAAGATAACTTAGAATTGTTTCATATGAATTAATTCACGAAAGCCCAAGATTACAGCTTTATTTTTCTCAGCCAACTACTACCTATTAAAGACATAAGTGTCTTAAAGTTGCGTCTTATTATCTCCCTTAAGTCAACAAAAGGCTGTCCTCACTTAAATGTTTATCAATTACTTGAAATTTGTGAGAAAAAATTCAAACTCCGACCTTTCTTGAGCCTTTTTAATCTAGAAATTCTTAACCTGTGTACACATGAACATTCAAGCACACAGCAGACTTACCAATGGATTCCAATTTTTAGACCTCTTCCTAATAAACTTGAGAGCACTCATGTATTCTGACTGTATTATCCTGGCTGCTGGTAGCAGGTCTCCATCCGACTTGTTTACAACCACTAGGTCAGCCAGCTCTACTATACCTTTTTTAAGACCTGGGATAAAACACAGAACACTATAACCACTAGAATACCCATCTCTAACTTTAAAATCACACTTATGGAATCCTATACTTTTGATATGGATGAAAATCAACTACATGTATCTAAGGGAAACAAAATAACCTTAATATGCTGCCCTTGCCACATTAAAAGGTGCATTATAAAATGTTAACATACAACAAAAAGTAAGATATCAAGTTTAAACAGCCATATTGGATTCTGCTTTGCTTCATTCCAATGTCAAAACAAATGTACTATTAACAGTCATAAAAATGATAGAAATCAGAACGGTTATCAACTGTCATCTTCACAAAACAGTATTGCATGCAAAACTGTTTCAGCATAAGCAAACAAAAGTCTCTTACCTATTGGATAGGAAGTAACTCTAAGTTGGCTGTTGTCCTAAGAAAGTATTTTCTTAATCATTTTATGGCAACTGCATGTATCACAGTGTAGATAACCTTTGCCCTCTTCACATTATGTTTACAGCCTATACTTTACAGTGTATCAGATACTGTTGTATTTTTCTGTTCAGTGTACACTTTACCTTGCAGTTCATCCCCACCAGCTGGTGGAATCAACAGACAAAACATATCTACCATGTCAGCCACAGCTACCTCAGACTGCCCCACACCTGGAACACATACACAGACATCTACATATATATGTATATATACTGGACAAACAAATACCACACACAATTTTTTATTTTAAATATAGTAAATGAAGTGGTCTGCACAGTACAGCATTCACCAAATGAAAGTTTCATCAGATAACTGTGTATCTGCAAGTTGCATTCTAATGATTTGTCATTATTTTTGAATGTCATTATACCAAGATGCAAGACCTTCATCTGGACTATAAACATACAGCATTTAAATTTTGATGAAAAAAAAACACACAATCAACATACTGTGGATATGCTGCATGTAGTATCTGCTTTAAGCTAAATATACAAGTAATGATTGGAGTATATTTTCAATCTGCACTTTACAATGTACATATTCAAACAAAACCATTCTGTTAAGCGCTCTAAACATCAGGCACCATATTTAAAGTAGGCACATGACACTGACCCACTGTTTCCACTAGGATGACATCGTACCCACTCCCTTCACACAACACTATGGCCTCATTCGTGTTCCTGGTCACCCCTCCTAGGGTCCCGGAGCTGGGGGAAGGACGGATGTAGGCATGGGAGTCCACCGACAGCAGAGGCATCCTGGTCTTGTCACCCAAAAGGGAACCTGTTGGAAAATGTATTTGCTTGTTTTAGGCCATTGGTTGCTCAAAGTTTTAAGGTATTTTAAAATAACTGAATTTAAATTAAATTGTGTTTTCACATGTGTTATTTTACGCTTTTAAAATGCAAAACTCACTGGTATCAAGTATCGGAAATCTGAAGTGTTAAAAACCATTTGTCAATATTTCACTTTATAATTACGTATGGAATATCACAGAGTCGTCTATATTTTGAAAAATAATTATCTGGATCTTAAATTCTTTGGCCCACTGTGTTGAGAAAACAGATTGTGTTAGATGTGACCATGACAACTGCACAGAACATCTAGCACAATCAGCCTATGTCATCACCTCCTGACGTCCTTGAAGATGGATCTACAGCCAGAACAGCCACCCTGTGTCCCTCAGAGGTCAGGTGTTTACCCATGGCTTCAATGAAGGTACTTTTCCCTGCCCCAGGGGGTCCAGACAAACCTGGGATATTAAACAAGAACATAGAAATTAAGCAATGGAATGTGTCATAATGCCTGAAAAAATGCAAGGTATACAGTCTAAATAATTAATAATAATAATACTGTAATGATGATTTATATGAAAGACAAAATAAAAAATCAGTTTAAAGCCCATCTTATCATACCTGTACACCTTTTGTAATTTGTGTTTCATATGAGTTGTTTACTTAAGCACAGGGCCATTAACTGTTTGTCAAAAAATGGTCTAACATTTTTAACTGTCCATTATCAGAATAGATTGCGGCTTTACCTATCCTAAATGAGCTTCCAAATGAGCCATGAAGACTGTGAGCATCTCTTTCTCTAAGATATAAAAGTACTTTGCTTAACAAAACTTGAGCTTGAGCCTTTTTCTTAGGATGTGTGGACTCCACAAGTGTGATGCCTTCTGCAAGGGCACCTCTCTCCTGTTTTTTAATACCTGAAATATATTTCATCCTTTATTACATTATTTCTTACAGTACAACAAGTTATGGGTTTTTATTATTATAACATGCATTTCGAGTAAGCCTGACTTAAATACATCAATGCACACACACAAAAAAACTAATGAAGAAGTACTTGGAATATATAACAACAAAAACCTTTCAAGAAGACAATAGTGCCTAGAAAAACTAGCACAGGTTAATCTTTTTAGTGGACGCTTTATAAATATTTAAATATCTTAAAAAATGACATGTTGATGAAAACAGCCTCATAAGAAACAAACAGTTCAATCATGCAGCTTCAATCAGAGCGAAGCGTTACATACAACATTACATTCTATATTGAGACTTCACTGACGTGGTAGTCAAATCTTAAATGCTTCATTAATTTAACCCCTCAACTACTAGTTTACCTTTATAAAGTCTTTGAACCACTGGGTCATCATCCTTTATCTCCTCATTCAAATAAATGTCAGTTTCTCTCAATACTTTGTACTTGGGTGTGGCCTGAGGACCTTGGTAAATTAATGTTCTTTTCTGCTGACTCCAACAACCACAGCAACCAATCACATGAACTTTATCCAGTAACTGACTGGCGAAGCTTTGTTTATATCCATGTGCTAACGTTAAGTATTTTTCGACAAGTGATAGTTTGCGCAAGACACTCATCTTTTGAGTTTATTTCTGGAACACTGAAATTACAAACAATTGATAAATCATTAAGATATGTACAGATTACCAGACCTTTGTGAAGTATTTCAATCCATAAACATGGTATAATAATACTTTGAAAATAATCCAAAAAGATAATCCAATACATGTACAACCACAAATAAAAATGTAATTTGTAAAGACTGCAATCATATTTTTAAATATCATTCTCAGAATGTTTCTTTCAGAAATATTGATAATCTCCCTTAAAATTCAGTCTGGCTGATATATTAATATATTCATCTGCGGTCTGTATAATGATAATATGTAGAATGAAATAAAGGGACTTGTGGGCAACCAGTGGTAGTGGTCACTTCATGTATGACTTATTCAATTTCAAGTACTAGTAACATATTGCTTAAGGCCGAGAGCATATATATGATTTTCTATGTCAATGTACATGTTTAATTCTGTGGTATGATTTGGTGCTATGATGAGATTCAATTAACAGGTTTATAGGAGGGAGGTGGGGGTCAAATCAACCAAATGCTTGTTATTAATCTAATTATATTATATAAATCAAGCAATTTTTCAATACCTTTTCACATCAGGGAACCCAACAGCAGAATAAGGAGCCAGGGCCGAAACAATCTGGCTTACCAATGAATATCCCAGAAGCAAGAAAATGTCAATTCCAAGCAGAAGACTCTAGTATTTGCTCTTCCTCGACCTTCAGACTCTTCCACATTCCGCAGCGCTTGATAACTTAAGTCAGCGTTTCATTATTAAATATATTCCGATGATGCTCAAACCTACATCAACCTTGCGGTGCAAATACAGATATTTGATTCTTTGAATTGTAGAAATGCTAAAGATTATAAAAACCGACCGCAAGTGTGTGATTCATGGCAAATTATGTGTCCTGATGGGGTCTTCGCCAAACGACCTTCACTCCACAAGGGCGCTGCCATATTGTACCAAGTGCGGAGTAGTCTTTTTGAATCTGCTTAGAATTATAATTATCATCATTTTGACGGGTTATTTCAAATTATTCAAAGATGTTTAATTATATAAATTTCAATCTGTCTTTACTCTGATTTTTTTTAATAACATTTCTTTAATTCTCTCGTTTTGTGTTTATTTGCTGCGACTCGCACAAACATCTTCCGGTTATCTTCTAATGCCGAAACAGTGCAGGGACTGCTCGAACACTTTGTCTGCATATTGGTGCAGAATTAGGCTAAAGTAGGCAATGCAAAACTTGAATTAAAGCAAAAATGTTTCTCAACATCCTTAAGAATTTTTTTTACATTTTTCATTTATGAGAATTGACAGAGAAGGTGAGGTGCTTCAGTTTAGAACCATTTTTTAAAAGAATTTGACCAAGATTCAGAATAAGGGAGATAAAATATTTTTGCAAAGCAGTAAGGTCTTTATTATCTCTTGGGTCCATTGTTGATTTAAAAAATGCTAAAGCTTTCAATACTGCTAAATCAGTTATTTCTCATTATTTTGAAAACGATACTCTTACAATGTGCAAATTACTAGTACTGTAGTGTAGTACAGCACTAGAGTCAGCATTCAGTAGCCAGTTGTTTCTTAATTATTCCAGGTCCTAACATCAAGTAAAAGGACAGTTGAACCCAGTCCACACACATAGGCATGCATGGATTTTGCATTGTTTTCATGATATACACATGTGGACTTTGACAACCAAAATATGATCATTTCAAAACTGAGTTTGACATGGAAACAGATTGGTACCAGGACATCTTTACATGCCTCCCCATTTGGAGAGTGTGGAAAATGTCTGAGAAATCAGCTACAAAGTCTGTTTTCTAGCAAATGTTTCTTCAGCCAAGACGTGTCAACTTGGGCAAGGGGGTGGAGAAGGGTTAACCAGTCTCTCCCAACACCCATAACCAAAGGAAAGTGGTCTTTAGCTGCCTTTGTTGCTGTGGCACATCCAACCACCACTGAAAAGATTCTGAAGGAGTCTGGCCTATATAAAAAAGCAGTGAGGTTTGGTGTTCCCCAAGATGTGCGAAGTAGTGACATTAAGGAGAAAAGGACACAACGGCGAAAGATTAACTTCATTTTGAGATTCTTGTACAGACTATGGCATCTCTTACGGGTGTTTTTCAGAACCTTGCGGCTATACTTCACTTTCACACCATTTGTACTTACATTTCCATTTACATATTTAAGCACTGGCTTCACTAACATATGGTGGAGTCTTCTTCTCATCGCAATCGAGAATTCTGGCCCCACCTTCATCAAGCTAGGTCAGTGGGCAAGTACCCGGAGAGATTTATTTTCCCACGAATTTTGTAACAGGTTTTCTAAACTGCAGAGGAAGAATAAGGTCCACAGCTGGTCGTACACTAAGAGGATATTGACCAGGGCTCTAGGGAAGCGGTGGAGGGAGATACTGGTGAAATTTGACAAGAAACCAATTGGCTCAGGTTGTGTGGCTCAGGTGGGAACTTCAAAATGTTTATCTCTTTATTTTCAATTATTGTTTTTCATTTTACTTATTGTTTTTCTTGTAGCCTGTAACAAATTTATTGCTTGAAGTTTGTTGTTGTTTTTAACATAAGCTTGGGTACCTCTTTTTTATGATTTGGTGGAAATAATGTTACTAAAATGATTGTTAAATAAAATATTTTCTAAATTATTCAATTTTCAGGTACACATCTGAGAGATAAACATCTGTATATAGGTCATTGTTATATTTGTAAATTATTTTAAAAAAGCACAATGAGCTACATGCAATACAACATGTTATCTTCATTTGATAAAGTAATTACATATTGTGATGATGAAATGGGCAATATTTTTTTGACTATTCTAAAACTCATACAAATAGGTTACTGGTTAGTTAAAAAGATTCATTTGTGGTAGATCCACATATTTGATTTACATTTTGACTGTTGTGTCTGTGCTTTCTGAGAGACTTGATCGCAACTGAATTACCCGTCCAGGTGAAAGTGTACAGGTAATCACCTTAGTGGAATATTTAGGTAGGTCTATCATAAGTGAAAAGTTTTTTTAACTATCAAAAACGAACAAAACTATTATCACCTTTATACATTTCAGGTTTACAAGGCCTACTTGAACCCAGACATGATATCAGATGAGGAGCAAGAAAAAATACTGCAGGAGCTGCATGATGATGATGATGATCCTTTTGAAGGTACATCAATTACAGTTGATATTCAGAGATTATAAATTGATGGCTTCTGTCTATGACAATATACTTTTTTGGGGTTTGGGAGAAAAAAATATAAGTACTATGAATTTTCCAAGGCTTACCAATTCTGTTGAAATTTTAAGGTGACCATGTAAATTTTGAGATATCTAGAACATTTTACTTACATATTACTTATGATTAATGATTTACTTGAATACCGCAAAATATTATTTTTCTATTTATTAGGAAAAACTTGATATATAAGTTTGGAATCAGTTCTTGTATAATTTTGTAAAATTTCTCAAGAAGCCATCCTTCTTTCAGCGTTTGAAGTGTTTGGGTTTTCAATGACTGAAGATGAAGACAAAAGCATTGAAAGCTCTCATGGTAAGTGATGGTTTTTCTTGCTTTTCTTGTTATGTTATTGCACACATTTATCATGCATATTGTACTGGACATATTTGCCCATTTCATGCTGTAACCTTATTATCCCACAGTACTCATTTTTCAGTTTTATCCCACAGCTGGAGATTTAAATAATAGGATAATTGCACTTGTTTTTGCTTACTAGTACACACTCACCTGTCTTTTACAACTCTTCATTATGTTCCAAGCAAAATACAAATGCAATCATTCTGTTGTTGAAGCACCAGCCTTGGAATAAGACAGTTACAAAGTTCTAGTTGTTGTCCTGCGCCTTTATATATTTACTTCCTTGTATGTCGCAGACAGTGAACAATTTGCATTTTAAATACTATATAAACATCTTTTTCACATACAGGTGACAACTCAACAGAAGCTGAAGACACATTGATCCCAGTGGCAGTGAAGGTACGGGGACATTTTAGAGCTCTCGTATGATAGCACTCTAGGTCAATGTAATAACTACAGGCCCCTAGCCAGAGGGGTCCACCCTTTTTGTCAGGAAAAGGTCCATTCTGGCTAAAATTTGATCTAGGTGCACAAAAGTTTCATTGTAAAAAGTCCACTTTTTCAGAAAAAGAACAGTACCCCCTTTCGAAATTGCTGGCTACAGGCCTGAATTGTGTTATGTGATTTATATGTGGTATCATTGGTTTTATCCAAATCATTTTGTTAACTAGTTGTGCACCTAATTACTTTTTTTTAATTTAAAGTAATTTGAAACATTTTACAAAGCCAAAGTGCATTAATTATTAATTTAATAGATGATTTCCTTTCTGTGTGAACTGATTTTTGTTAACATTACTTAAAGAACTATATTTTTAGTTACATTTTGTTAAATTGAGATATAGGATTAGTAATATGGTGGTGAAACTTTTAAAGCTTGTTTTCTGGACCCTTACTGGATTATTTGTCTTTTTTATTTTAATTGATTTTTTTAATGAAACAACCATTACTGTATTTGTTTATAAATGTTTTGAGCACCATACTGCATATACACACAAGATTTCATGTACATTATATACAAGTATGAACAAGCAGTTACGACACCTAGGGATAAATGTTGTTTGTAATCCCCAGGTGTTACACCCAGGTGTGCACCGTCTTGTCCGTAGAGATCTCCTTATCATTACTGGCACCGCAGGCCTGGTACAGCTTCTGGTCCCAGGACTCAAGTGGATGGACCTCAAAGGCTGTGCTGAAGAATTTGCTCAGTTAATGGAAAATCAGGTATACAGATAAATGTTGCTTGCTATGGTATGCTTGAGTGTTATATACCTACTGAGGCTGAGCTCGCGAAAAGTTAATTACCCCCTTAGCAGCTTCAGTAGGTGTGCCAGACATTTAATCCACTTAAAATGAATGCAGTTTAATGGGAAACCCTGTGGAGTTAGATCAATACAACTAGTACAGTAGGGTAATGGGAAAGCAGTTTTTAAGTCCAGAAAAACTGATTTTATAACAGTTGGTATACTTTCCAACCTTGGCAGGCTAACCAGAATAAAGACGGAATGTGACATGTGGAACTGCTTCACAAAAATACTGATTGAGATCTTTAGACCAGCAGCAAGAAAATTGGTTGTTGATCTTGGCTTATAATTTGGTTGTACTTTTAAAAAATATATTTGGTTTTATACTTGTCAAAATATATACATTCCATCTAAATCTAAAAATCTTTAATTTTTTCTCAATATATAACTTTTCATCCTGTGACAGCTTGACCTGTGCCATGAAGCTAGAAACTTGGACACCTTTGCTGACAACTTTGCTGATGTGCCTTCAGTCAGGTTTCCTAGGCCTCTCTGGCCTTATGTCAAACATAATGTACTGGTGGAGACATTTGAGGTATGGCTTTGTATTCCATCTGTGCATTGATGTGCATGTGCACACACTCACACATACACACACACATGCATGCAGGCACACACCTTATGTGTAATTACAAGATTGTTAAAGGAATTTTAAAAAAAATGATTATATTTTCATTGTTAGTGCCATATTTTATCAAGGTTGGTGGCAAATGGTTAATTTATAAAACCAAAAGCATGCCAGTTTTGGATGTGACATCCATGTTTTCTGGGGGATAACACATAATGAAGCTCTTCAGGTATTTTGATTCCACTTATTGCATATAGCATGTTTATGACAGCTATTTTTTTCCCATAGGAAGGGAAACCAATTTCTAAGTTTATCACTTTAACATCAGAAGATGAAGATGAACAGCAGAGATTATACACTTTGAAGCAGGCACTGGGAGATATTTGTGTAGACTCCTTACTCAAAATGGTAAGATTAATGTCACCTTGCAGTGGCAGCACAACACATTGTCCTATTTAAGAACAGATATTAACTCTCTTGAATGATTTATACCAGTAGATATTTGCCTTTATCTTTGCTCTGTGCAGAAAAAGGATGTGTTGAACATTAAGTTTTAAATTTGCATATATAGACCTGCTTTCTCATGGACTTTGAAAGATGAGTTCGTTTTTTAACACTTCATATTTTTTTGTGCCAGATATTTGTTGACAACTTTGTGCATGGAGACCTGCACCCAGGGAACATTCTGGTACAAAATGACGACAGATTCAAACCAGAGGTATTTATTTTACTGAAAAGCTAAATTGTATCAGTGCCATCTTATCTGACTGGTAGAAATGTATTTTTCTGATAAACCAAAGGTAGAAATCCAGATTACATATAGGAGAACTTTTACATGTGATATATGCTTTTCATAAGTTTGTTCATTTGACATCAGTTCATGCAAAAAAACCATGCAAATCATTCATGGAATGATTCTAGGAAACCAAGATGATAATGGATGACCTAGGAGATACACTGATAGTGGATACCAAACCCTCAGAAAATCATCTTCGTATGGTGCTTCTAGACACTGGTATTGTAGCCACGCTGTCAGAGAAAGACAGAGCCAACTTTAGGGCTGTTTTCACTGCTGTAGTCCAGGGCAAGGTTAGTGTAGACGTCACAAGCATGCATACATGCTTGAGTGTGCGCAAGCACACGCACACATTTATTTAGATATGGTAGCTTTTTATTCAGAGAAAGACATAACTAGTGTCATTTTTTGTCTAGAAAAATATTTTCTTTTCAATCATTGCATCAAAGAAGTTATATGAAAAATATGAAATTTTAACTATAATATCAATTCTTTTTGCTTCAATGTGCCTTGATATGTTCAGCCAATTTAAGGAGGCAGTCAGTATTCATGAAGTCACACCATAGACTGAATGCATATAATATTGTATTATTTTTATTTCATGCAGGGAGAGGTTGTGGCAGAGCTACTTCTAGAGCATGCTCCATACAGTCAGTGTCAGGACTTGGAGGGATTCAAGTACAAGATGGCCCACTTGGTGAACACGGCCAGAGATAACACACTGAAATTGGCAAAGGTATCAGATTGGATTAGGACAAACAGGAATTTGTACAGAAATTTATTATTATTTTTTTAAATATTACAGTGATAGTTTGAGGTTTTAGAGAAAAAGCAGCTGGAACTGATGTGAGAAATGTTCCTATGAATTTGCCATGGCATGACAACATGATTGACAGTGTGATAGTGATACGGTCAGCTCAAGATACCAAAACTAGTCAAGGAGATTTCTTTTTTAACAATATCGTCATGATTAGATTAATTAATATTATTTTCTTAAAGTCTTTTTGGGTTTTATGTTCACTTAAGATGTTAAAATAAAAAAAAATCCCCTCATAGAATTTATGTTCGCTTTTAAAGTTAATATCAAAATTCCTCTTCATAGAAATTTTTATTTATTTTCAAAGTTAATATCAAAAATCCTCTCAATAAGATACAGGTCTGAGAGTTCCTTCCCTGTGTACCAGTCGGAACAGTATCTATAGCTATAGGACAATAATTGCATTTGAAATCTGCAACAAAACGGTAGATGATCATGATTTCTTTCCATGTACCCCAGGTCCAGGTGGCCGAGCTTCTGACCAGTGTGTTTTCCATGGTGTCCCAGCACAAGGTGAAACTGGACAGTAACTTTACTGCCGTGGTCCTGGCTGTGATGGTCCTGGAGGGACTGGGGAGGTCACTGGACCCTGAACTGGACATCATGAAGAAAGCTACTCCTGTGTTACTGAATCAGACGGGAGGAAGGTTGTTTGGAAGTAGTAGGAAATCATGATTTTTAGCAGATGCCAAGCTTATTTCAGGGATTATTGTGTAGAAGATTTCTTCTTTGTTACTGAATCAGTCAGGAAGAGAATTTTTTGGAAATGGTGAATCATGATTTGGCAAATACCAAGCTTATTTCAGTCTGGATCCTGTGGGCTTGTGTTCTGTAATCCTGTTCAGTTTGATCCTGGTGTAGTGACTCTACTCGCCACACACCCCTTTTTCTGAACTCAATGAAAGGGTCTGATAATGCTTATTATTATTATTGTGGATCAGAAATCTATAAAACTGCAAATTCCAGGCTTCAGCAGCAGTATTCATGCTCCACATTATGTGTTCATTTATGTAGACTCTAAGGGCAGTGGTTGGAGGCCGCCAAGTGCAGCAGGATTTTTTTTTTTGAACCAAAAAGGTTACGAGTCAAATATACTATATTGCTATAAGTTCTACCTATAGTTTGTTTGTAGGCCAACATTTAATGAGATTTTACTCTTTTCTTTTCTTTTAAAAAGAGTATGAAGTTTAAAGGGTCTTAAAATTTAGGGATTTTTATCAGACAAAAATGCAGTTTGTGCCATTTTTAAAAGAACGCCATTTTCTCAGGTGTTGTCATATTATTATTTGTTAAAAGCTTGTTACACAATTTCTTGACAAAATCATTTCCACAATATGCCCTAGTCCCCATCCAATGGGCAATATTTTTACTATATAGTATGATGTTGTCATTCAATATGTAATTCTGACTTTATATGTTATTTCTTAGAGTACCTTGATATGGTGGCTTAATATGAGGTTGAGAGAAAGTGATGAAAATAAAATGAGATAATTATTGTTGTTATACTTGTTGCAAAGCTCTTGATAATGTTTTAAAATAAAATTATAATAATACTCAAAGAATCATTAAGTTAACAAATAAAGGTCTGATGCTGGTAAAGGGAGTTTTTAAAAATGCATGAAATTACGAGAGTTGCTTAAAACCAAACTGCAGGCTATGTGGGGAGAATCCAAGGCAGAAAAGGACAAACTCCAGTACCGATTTATAAAACAACAATTGGCATGTTTATTATCTGATGGACAATACAGATATGACCAGATAAAATGAGATACCTTCTCTGATTACCAGTATCAAAATGATTAAAGAGTCAACAAATACACCTGGCTGGAAGTCCTTTGGCTGCACTGAGACAAGAATCAACCTATGGAAATTGTCTGATGTCCTCAGACAGCTTAATTATTGGCAAATAACACTGGAAACCCCTATTCTATTTAAAATATATATAATCCAAAGTTATCCCACTGTCTGCTTATGTAAACTGGACTTCATTCCAATGAAATTTACTCCAATTTTCAAGTCCAGTGGGCATCTGCAGATTTAAAAGGGCCTTGAATGCGCTCAAGGTCACCAGGAACTTCAACAGTAAAGATCCATGTATTCTGGTCCCTCCTGATTAAAAAAAAAACCTTTACAGACTGTAATTCCCTACAATGGATTTAAGTTCTGTAAAATGGCAAAACTATCTACTTACCCATTTCTTGTTTGTTGGTCAGCATTTTTAGTACACTGACCACAGGGTTTGTTAGTATCCTGTTATAAAATCATTGTATCGCCTATATTTTCATTTTGTGTACTATTTCTAGAGTGCCCTGTTATCAGAGGGCACTTTTCAGAAGGTTACAAGGGTATCTAGAAAAACAAGATCAACCTGGAATGAAACCCAGGGTAGAAATCTCTATGTGACCATATACCTCAGTGGTCAAGTACATTCTGGTTATGTTCTTAGGGATATATCTACAAAGGGCAGTTTCCCTTGCCGAGACATCCCTGTCAACAAATATATCTAAAATATACTTTTTCAAACTTCTCTTTCACAGCCTCATGTTATGTGGTCATTGTAGTTATACTTAAGAATTTATAGAATAACATGATTTTATCAATTTTCTGGATGTGAATTCATGGCCTCCTGTACTCAGTTGAAACTAATACCAGAGATATAGGGAGATTAGAAAGGGCTTTTTTCATTTATCACGCAGGTTTCCTTATCTGCTCCATAAACATTATATCTATATTACCATACATGTGATCAGGGCATATGATTGTATCAAAATATCTGTACCATTACGTGATCACGGCATATAACTCTAACAACAATTGTCTTTAACACCATGAACTCCAAAACAAACATGACTAGCTGATATCTCAGATATGAAATTTAACAAACTGTTGTAATGCCACTGATCTCATACTATTTTTCATCCATTAGAAAAATAATTCAATTGAGAACTTGACAAATTAAATCAGGAAAAAAACAACAGTATATTTAAATATATAGCTGACCATTATTTAGAAACAGTTATGAAAAAGAATATAGCAGTATGATAATATGATAAGTGACCCTTTCTTCATTCAAGAAAGTTTTAAAATCCTGTTAATTTACAATAAATGAAGTAACCTTTCACCTTCATATTACACTTGTAAACAGTCTGCAATGCATCACGAAAATTTATGTTAAGCAAGGTTTGCATGTTGCAAGGCACAAGTTATATAAATTAGCATAATGGCATACACAAAGCTCGTCCTGTATGCGCATAATATATATCATAACTTGATGATTTACAAAATATTCCTTGAATATCTTTATTTCTTTCTTATTTGTGTGGGTAACTGGAATAATTGCCACTCCTTGCTGTAGCTGAATACACAGGTACTACTCTCAGTAAAAATTACCAAACATGTAATTTATGGTTCACGTGAAAGAAAAGATAAATAATATTTTTCTTATTCATTACCCAAAGTAAACCATTCTTGACATTTCACAAAAATTGCGAAAGTAGCATAATCCAAACTGGCATTTTGTGTACAAATGTACAAGCACCTGCAAGCTGTCACCAATTTCAAATTTTCCAATGCTCCTGAGTTTCAAGTTCTAAATTATCATAAAGCAAATCGTTTTCATCACACTTCTGAAAGATACTCCATACAACATCATATAATGTCATCAATTCTCTTATTGTTTTAGATATACTTATAAAGCAGAAATGCGTATGTCTCGAAATATGCACATGTCATATTCCATCTAAGTGCTTACCAAGCCATCACTGTCAGGATTGAATTCTTAGTACTACAGATGCTAGGTGTAACCTCCTGGTTTTCAATGCTATTTCCACTCCCACTCTCTGAGACAGACAAAAACAAGGAATTCACTTCATCATGTCACCAAACCTGAATATACAAAATAATTCTTTCTTGGACAATTCATACTTCTTCATAATGTACTACACATTGTCTAATATTATCAAGTAATAAAACTGTCTTGAAATCTTCAAGCACACTTTCAATAAAAATATTCATATTAACTGCAGCAGCCATCTTTCTTCCCAGCGGCTCTATTTCTCTGTGCCCTCAGGTCCACTACACCATCGTGATTTATTTTAGCCTCAAAGTTGGCTTCTAATTGCACCACTCTTTGAACAGCCCACAGAAAGGCCTTGTCCACGTTCGTAGAGTCCTTGGCGCTTGTTTCATAATATGGGAGTTTCCCATTCTGTTGACACCATACTTTAGCGTCACCTTCCATCACCTCTCGGTGTTCAACATCCACTTTATTACCCAGTACCACAAATGGAAAACTGTCGGCGTCCTGAACGTCAGCGTAATAAAGGAATTCCTTCATCCACATTGCTAAATTCTTAAAACTCTGAACATCGTCCACTGCAAAAGTTAGCAGGCAACAGTCTGCTCCTCGGTAAAATGGTGTCCGTAAACTTTTAAAACGTTCCTGGCCAGCCGTGTCCCAAATCTGCATTGTGTACGTCTCCCCATCCAATACGACGTCCTTGTTTAGGAACTCTACTCCTATGGTATGGAATGATTGAGCATCAAATTTATTACTGACAAAACGGTTCATTAACGAAGACTTCCCGACACCTCCATCTCCAAGAAGGACCACCTTTAGCAATTTTGGTTTACCTGCCATAACTGCTATTATAAGTCTTTATTTTCGAGGAATTCAACCTTGGTCCTCAAGATATTCTGTGTTCTTCACTTGCTCCTAATTTGTTTGTAATCCAGATTTTTTCTGTTATTTATTTTGTTCTGAGGTCCTTTTTTTTACATTTCTCAGTCTACATCCAGTGCAATAGGAGGAAGGTCAATAAATAGGCTGAGCAATTTCTACCTGAAAAATAAAATAAAATATAACCATAAAGTACTGTGTATATCACATCTTTACTAATTACAGAGCTCTTAAATGTGAATTCATATCAAAATCATTTTAATTACATTTTCAACCTTTTAAAGAATAAAGAAAACAAAAACATCATTACATATTATATGTGCACATGAATAATTGTTCACAGGTCAACTGAAAATGTTATCAAACCATATTAATTATTTACTAAACCCCAAGGCTGCATACTTTTTACCTTCCCATTCCTTTATCTTATTGTGGAGTCATGTGCTTCTGTACAGGCATATAAAAAATACCCGTCCCTCCTGACCAAAAAGACAATTTATGCACTGCACAGTATTACTGTACTATATAAACATGTCACAATGCAGTCAATGTCAAGTCATGTGCTATTCAGATCCAGAATTACATACTCCTTTTGGTGACATTCAACAGAGTATTTACTAGTTATTTCACAATTGTATTTTAACTATTTTAAATATGATTAATTGAAAAACTATGTTTGTCTCATTAGAACTTTTTGATTATTTAACAATATGACAGTTATGCCTGACTACAGTCATTTAAGAGAGTGAACATTTTCTATAAATTGTTCTGGGTATGCAGCAATTGAATGAAAAATTCCGACTTTATTTTTTGATATGGGAATGCTACAGAGTAGTCAAAACCTGGAAACTGATGTGCTATATGGGTATATGAAATTGTATAAAATGGTACCGGACCTCGAAGTAGACGAATAAGGTTGGGAATAGTGGCTTACACATACTCATCACTCAGTGCTTCTTCAATGCAGGACTCTCTGACATTGCATTACGTTGTTTCATTTAGAAACCAGGGGCCATGTTCACAAAGGTTATAACTTTATCCTTGTAACTTTTCACATAAGCCCGATTGTTCACATAAGTTGGCATTCTCAAAGATTTGTCAAAAAAAGTTTAAAAGATTTGAGAATAAAGCCCAAGGAGTCAAGTGCCAGTGATGTGCTACTGTGGGCTTCATAGCTCACAGTCCCTTGTAATCCAGGACACTTGGCAACTACTAGCATCATTTACATAAATTTGACACAATTATTGATAGTACATTACCCCCAATACACTCCCTTTGTTATCACATGCTAAGTTCACATACATCCCAGTGTAATAAAAGCATATAAACAATATTGATCTTTAGAGACATACAGTATCTATGTCACATTCCTGGTAACTCTAATGATATGTCAAAGCATGTAGTGACATATACCTGGTATTCTTACAATATAACTTGCCAGGTAAAAACAAGTACAATGGCAACTCAGTGAGTCAGAGTCACACTGTGATCTTCAAGTAAGCTACCAGTAGGCATATGGTACTTACAACATCCTATATACAGATTGCTGCCAATTTACCCAGATCTGTAGGCGGGGGGGGGAGGGGGCTTTTGGCCAGAGAAGGTCTGCCTTAATTGGATAATTGAATAAGGTTTTGATGCCAAGTTGGGTCAAATAAGGGCATAAAAGGGTATGCTGCTACAGAAAAAGACTCCCCTTCCCTTTGATATGCTAACTATATATCAGACCTCGCTGTCCAAAAAAGTAATAATAATAAATAATAATAGATGAAACTAAAAGCCATAAAAGGTATTCCTATCTTCTATGCCATTATAAAATAACTGTTTAATAATTTCAGTTAAACATACCACACATTTTCCACAAGTCACCAACGGAATTCTCTCTCAGTATTTTCTCTTTTCTTCACACTTGTTTTTGTACTATCTGAGCCATTATGTACACGTAAATTCACAAACACTACAGGTGGAATTTTCAGTTTCAAATACAGTTTCCACCCCAGTCTGAAATAAATGATGACTTATCGTCAATCTCAAATTTCGCTAGTGAACACTGTAACAGCTCGAGTGCTTCACTATATTAATAACCATTACTAAGATCTGTTAGTGTCAAAGTTTGAGTGACCACAATGTACTTATACAGCCCGTCATGGTGACTCAAGATCTTGTGTGAGGATGCAACTCTCAGTATCATGGTTACAACTGTGTACACTTAAATCAATGATGTTACAGTCTTGAACTTCCCACTTTCTAACATGGTGACGGTAATATACAGTATAGTGTAACATATAGTGTAGCTCTGGAACTGTGTGGTAGCTGTAGTGATACATACATGTGGTGGTATCAGACACCCAGCAGTAGACGTACTAGGACAGTGTACCTGCTGTACCCCTGTATGTTATTATTATTAGTAGTACCAGTTCTACATACTTGAATTTTAACCATGACTGCATTTTATGAATATGCTTCATTTCAAACTGCATGAGACTGTACTTGACTTAACCGGTGTTCAAAGTAACTGCCAGAGTTCTACTGGAGTACTGGTTTTACAACAGTACACGAAAGTCCCCGAGACCAAAACCATCAACAATGTACACGTTCGTGCAGTGTCCCAGGTCAGTTAATGAGTTACTTAACTGTGTAATTTTAATTGCATGACCGTTATAGTTAACGTGTCAACTCCATTATTGCCTAACATAAATCGACATTAAAACACGATCTTCAAAAATATCTCTGGCCTTAACAAGATACTCACGTTCTATATAAACAGACGAATAACCTGTCGATTGTAAGAGCTCGCATTTGGTCGCTTCCGCATCATTATCTCTGCACAGTATGATCGTGACAACATGGAGGCGGAGTGTCATCATGTGACTGCCATGTGACGTTGATTCTGATTGCTACAGTTGAGACCAGTGAGTTGAGTCGGTGCGCACACTGTGCTGAAGGAAGGAATGCGAATCCGTTGCGTTGTCTCAGATCCGAAATGTAACGAAATTGTAACTTGTTTCCGCTAAAAGAAAACACAAGAAAAGAGAAAGAAAGAAAGAAAGAAATCATTGAACACGACGCAAGTTGTTTGATTTAATTCAATACAATTCACGGATCTATCTAATCTATTCCGGTAGGCCTACATGTGATATGACTGTTACCCGTTCTTTCATAATGGAATTATAACTCAGGGTACCTCACCAATTTGTTTCGCTTAAATGAAAGGACAAAAAGACAGCGTGGGAAAAGAGATAAAGCCGAGTAAGTTTTATCGAACGTAAAGCCGTTAATTTAAGGTTAATCAAACTTCATCAAACGTTTAAAAGCTATTAAAAGTATGTACTGTAAAAGGTATCTTAATTAACACTGGGTTGTTCTATGAATTAATGGAATTGAACTATTTAACATTATTGAACGATCATACTCACCAAAATGAAGTATTTTATTTAAAATATCAAATCTATATGCACTAGTGTCAGCTGTGAAAATAATGAGAAATTTTGAGTAGCCTATATAAATTCATCAATTATTTAAACAAGAGGACAAAGCTTACATCCCGATTGTGGTTTTTTAGCACTCATTCTTGTTCAAGAACAAACTTTGGAAAATATATAACTTCAGAACTCATACAAAATTTCTAAAAGAGACCAGTAGACCACCATAATGTTGGATTAAGGGATGGACTTAAATTGCTAGAAAACCTAGTTATTAAGTATTACTGGCAATCATATTTATGTAGATAGTTTGTCGCTTGTCACCACTAAGTATTTTTTAATACAACATGATTAATTCTGAAATTACATCGGAATTGTATACTTAAAGACTAGTTACAAACAGTCTGTGGCAGAAGGCAATCAAAAGACACCCTGACGTTCCTAACAGAAATTATAGCGCGTCTCTGCTTAAGTTCAAATACAGAGGGGAGGACCAAACTTTACTTTATTTACTTATTTTTATATAGAAATATCTTTAATAGAAATTGGCATTTCATGGATCTGGTATTGCAAAGATTTAGAAATTAAAACGATCGTCTGTGTGCCTGTTCTACGGGTACGTAGTTTGGCTATTTAATTAAAAGATCAATTTATTTATTTATTAATCAATTTATTAAAAAAAAAAACATGATGGCAAAAAGCATTGATCTGTCTCTTCATTATTGCCAAACTAGTCTGAAAATAGACAATGCTCACAAAACTCGGGGTACAAAACCACCTTCAGTTGGCCTTTCGTCTGGCTAAGTCATTATGAGACACCAATTAATGTTAAATGTAAAATGTTAATTGAATTTCTATTAGATGAGCATTGTTTAATGGCATTGGTTGTGAACAAACAGTATATAAGCAGACCCCCCCATTCCTCGAAAGCATATTTGCTTGTGAAGAGTATACAAGGTGAGTGACCATGTGAAATTTTATTTTTCTAAATCTAACCACATTCACAGACTTGGCTTTTCAGTCCGGTGTACACTGCTAAGTACTGGCTGAGCTATCGACCTTAGCGAGGATTGAGTCTCAGACCCCATTTCCAGAGATTAGATCGATCTACTTTAGATCGACCAAACTCCCTGGGGTTCACGCTAAATAGCTGTCAGCCGGGCGGACACGAAAGTTAATTACCCCCTTACAGCTTGTAGTAGGCGGGACGGACATTTAAGCCGGATTATCTGACAGTAATCTAGTGAGACTCCCCGCGGGGAAAGATCGAGCTAAAAGCTCTGTGAATACAGCCTCAGATTAGGTTTTCTGACTGCAAACAAAAGAAATGCTTGAATTTCGTTTATCTTCAAGACTTAGGGTGCGCTCACAATGAATGTATCGTACTAGCTAGTGCACACTATCTCCACGGGGACTCTCGCTGAATGCAATCAGATCAAAAGATTAACACTTCTCTTCCTGGCTTTGTACAGAAACGCTGGTGATTATACGAGTAGGCCTACGTATACGTTGGAAACAAGGAGGGGCGTGTTTATCTGTTGGTCATGGAGAATCCCAGCTGAGTTTGTGCACACTAGATGGTACGATACATTCATTGTAAAAGCACAAATCAAATAAAGATCGCCTACTGAACGTGGACAAGATACTTGAAGCTCAGCTGGTATAGGGCAGTTTGCGTCGGACTGCAGGCTACACACAAGATACATTTTCTTTTATAGTAAATGAGGAAAAATGTCACGAAACATGGCACGGTTGTATCAAACATTCAAATCAAGAGTTTGCTCGCTTTCTATCTGAGAATCTACAAAAATATTAATATATCGGCATCATTTAACTGAAATTATAAGGTTAATTAACAATTTTTCGGCATTTTACATACAGCTGCAAATTAAACATGTTCCGCTGTGTGTGTGTACTGGCGTTGGTGGCCGCAGTTGCAAGTGTCAGCCCCCCGGGGTGTGGCTGGAAGGTCAGAACAGATGGCACACTTGACTGTTGTGAGCAAATAGGGGACTGTGCGTGCTTCATACCGGAGGGTAAGTGAATCGCTGCAGGATCTTGTAACACTTAATTGAATGTCAGACTATTACATCTATTCACATTTAGGTTCACAAATCCAAAACTCCAATCTCATCCATCCCAGATTTGAAAAGCTTTCAAAGGGCTCATTCCCATTCAAACCATCGGTCTACGTAGGTCGATCCAACTCCGAGGAAGCAAGAGGAGGCTTGTTAATCTGTTAAACTGATTGCATTTAGAGTCCCCAGATTTGGATCGATCTTCGGAGACCGCGAAAGTTTCAGTGGGAATGACGTTGAGTGCCTCGAAATTTCTCCTCTGTTACGTTCTCCCGTGCTTTCACCGAAAAGCGTACGGTAGTCCTGTTTGCGATAATGAGGAAAGTCACCGAATAGAAAGTAACTTCTATCGTGTTGGTTGGTTTTGGTGGGAAGAGCGAATGACGACTAATTATCTTCTATACCAGGTCACAGAGAGAATTTTTCACTATATACATTTACAAAAAAATTGTGTCAAAAATTTCATGCACATTTCTGAGAACAGCAAAATATTTTGCACAGAATTGACGTAATCATTCAGCTGGCCCCTGATAGAGACTAGCGCAGTATTTATTTCATATTATATTATTTTTTCACTCATAGGCTCCTCTTGGCCCGCCGACAAGCCCACCCCCATTTGTGGCGCGGAGCCACCAGGCTGCACGTGGCAACTGAAACCCAACGGTAAACTGAAGTGTTGCATAAACCGGCCTGACTGCGCATGCTTCATACCGAACGGTAAGCAACGCAAGCTTGTGACCTTTTTCACATAGGACGGTGCAGCTCTGTATCGCACCAGTTTTAAATTAATTGTCTGGGTAATACCTAATAGAGTCACCTCAACCAATGAGCTCACCCGCATTCGGCACGGTCAGTTAACTGGATTCATTTAGATTGGCTATGTTAAATTGGGGATTGTGAAAGTGGTTAACCCTAACCTACCCCCTACCCCCCCATCCCCGCCTACCCCCCCCCCTTTGTAGGATCAAACTGGTGCGACTCAGAAAACTGCCCCGCTCGATGTGAAAATGACCACATACAAACCACCCACAGAACGTAGACGTCTTTGTAAGCTTCAACTAGATACCATAAATATTGAAAGTAAAAGTTGTTTTTCTTTCTTTTTTGTTTTTGTTTTATGGGCACAATTAAGTAAAATAATTCTGTAATTAATTATGATTATAGAACTGAGATACACATATAACATGATATGTAGTACATTTCACATGGATGTTAGAGATTGCAGCATGTCAAACGAGATCAGACGTGAAGCTCTTTTATGGAAATAGATGTCAAAAATTGTCCGATGGTCTGTGAAAAAATTCAAAATGTATCTAGTGAAAATTTAAAGGATTTGTTAAAGAGATGGAGAAAGTGTCAAAAAACACGAATATTCAGTCTTATGTTAGATTTTTTCAATTTCAAATGAATGGGCAAGACACTTTTACCGTCTATTGATCATCCACTTTCCACGGCATTTCTATAAGACCAACATATAATAAACGGGAAACATTTGTAGCAGATCTAGATTTAGAGGACTATTTATTTTGATAGTTTCTCGTACCTGTAGGTTTCGAATGGCCTGCTGATAAGCCTACGCCGTTATGCTGATCTGAACAATGGCGTCAGTACATGTGACGGCACAGTAGCCTTGTAAGTTTCTTTTTCTATTACTAATTAGATCTATTATTTATTTATTTATTTATTTATTTTTCACGTACGAAGTCAGGAAAATAAAGTCACGGCAACATTCTCATTGTTATCTATTGAGGCACTAGACGTAATTTTTATTCTAAATAATGATATTTCAAAGAATAGTGAAATTCTCAAAGTGATATATTATGGCTTCTCTTTCCTTATTTCAGTTTTTCTTGGGCACATGAGAACGGCAACACTCAGGACTTGGACATAATAACGTTTTATGTCCAAGCTCAGGAAAAAGATATATCATCATATGAAATGGCGATTAAGAAGACATAATCTGTGCGTTATTACAAAATAAAACTTTTTAGATTCGATGTTATATTATCCTTTTGTCTTTCGATAAACACCATTTGGGTTTAAAGTTTGCGTCTGCCATCTTACGGTGCAAAGATTTTGCAGTACAAAAAACACCAAAAAGACTTCAAAGTAAAGGTAGTTTTAGAAAAAACACAAATATGATATTTGATCAAACAAAATTCGCATAAAACACACGTTCAGAAAATTTCAAAGAATGGTAACACTATTTACTTGCAACCAGTGCATAACGAAATAGGGTACCTCAAATAGAAACACAATACAACAACATAAAAAATATTCTAGATAATTTTTTACTCATTTCCTAATAGCTCTCAGCCATATTACACTAATTTCCCACCCGTTACCACCCCCATCGCACTATTAAAATTTAAAATTTATTCAAAAATTATTCTCTTTAAACGCTGCTTCAAGTACATGTACGAGTGTAATGTGCACACCGATAGGAGTAGCACCGACAGATTGCACAATTTATCACAGTCCGCACATACTTTTAAAGAGTAGATGCGCGAGCGTCTTCCCCACTTCTCCCACGGTATGATCAAAGTGACCCCACTTCCTGCATAAGTAATGACAACCGCAGTGGTTTTCATAATACAAAGGGCGTGTGACGTGTAAAGAATCTATGACGTCAACATCTACGTCACGCAGCTTGGTTTCCATCCAAGCGTTTGCCGCGGAAGAGATGGGGTTACTGCGAAATCCTGCCTGTGTTACACCTCGGGGATAAGCTATCTGCTGCATCCACAGAACCCTGCTCTTGCTCCAAAAAGGATCCTGTTTAAAATTTTTCAAAGCGTTAGCCAACTTTTGTGAAGATTCCTCAAAGAACCCCATGGGTCCCCTCATCCAAAAATCCCACTGTCCAGTCATAAGGATAACAACGTCGTTTTGGGTTCGAACGCTACTCTGATCTTTAGTTAAGTTGACTAGTCTTTCTATGGCGGTATCGGGCCAGGGTGCCCACAGAATTGAGATCTTTGGTTCGGGAATGTAGTCATAATGCCGGTGATAGGTCACGTTCGCCATATTGTATCCTAAAAGTTCTATGAAATAATCCCCCGTGTTACGCAAATGGGAATCACCAATAAATGTGATCGAGTTCAGTTTATTGTAACAGCGGGTCACCTCTCGCCGGGGCATGTAGTTAAATAAACACCTGTCCTCTGTCCCCCACCGCCAACCATTTTGTGTTTTAAGCCAACGCCCACCGAGGTAGTCCTTTATCGTTTTATTTTGGCAGTGAGTTTGAGATATTTTGGCCAGTGAAGTGTCATTTAATGAGGCGATTTTCCTTGCTGTGTTATAGGGGGAGCACCACTGGAATTGCTTTAGTAGCTTGTTGAGCTCTGGCCTCACGTCGCCGTGGGATCTCTGCAAAAATGGTTCAAATTCTAGGTACTGGAGAATAACCTTGACGTCAACACACCCGCTCACTAGGGGGCAGCACGCAGTGTAGTTTCCATCAAAACTGTCATGGACATCACACAGCACTTTCTCTTCTCCTTCTAAAGCAATTCGAAACGTGGTTCCGCCCTTGGTTGGTTGTTTCCCCTTGAATTCACGTATGTAAAGCTTTAAATGTTTACCAGATGTCTTGAAACGGATATTGTGCGAAAAATTATCTGAAAATAAATTTCGATTACGTGTAATTTTTCTATATTGCTGATACACTAGTTCGTAATACTGAAATATCCTGTCAAACTCTGCCTTCAGTTCAGCTAAAGCAGTATAATTAATATCTCGGTGATGCATTCCAAATGTTCTCCACGAATGAATGGCTTGATCAAGCTCACTGTTTTTGTAGGTCGACACTTGGCAACCTTCAAAACCGTCTTTCGTTCTTGGTCGGTTGTAAGATTCATCTACAGGGTTATGTTTGTAGTCTAATGTAGAAACCAAGACAACCCCACCGCTCCGAAATACGTATAACAAGCCAACGAATACGAGTCCAATTGCTATGAATACTTTGGCGTTCCAGCTTTTCATCGTTCCTGGAAAATAAGGGCACCAAAAGTAAACCAATCTTTTCACACACACAAGATGTAATATGGTAATGCATTTTTTTCGTTATGTCGATTCAATGAACTAAACGAATATACTTAGATATACCAAGGTTTTAAGCGTAACATTCTACAGTACATACGCATCAACGCCAGATAAATCGGGTTGTCGCGCAAGACCAGTAAGGGTGTTCTGTAAACACAATAAGCCTATGAGCCGGACAATGCGACCCTTCTTCCACTATCAAACATTACATGAACACACCCAATAATTAAAATAAAGGGTGGTCATCATAATGACGGTCGATGACCAGTGAACCTCAAAGTACTTAATTCAATGCACTCATTGAGGAGCATTCTATTCGTTTTTTTATCATTATTATTAAGAACATGGTGTTTAAGGGGGTACTGTAGCTGCGTTGACAGCTTAATATCCTAACAGATCTGAGCATTTTTATAACTGTGGTGCTTTGAACCCTAGAACTATTGAAAGCGCCGGGTTCTACTCTACATTGTAACAAGTGTCCACACAACAAGTAACAATCCGTTATTGCACAGCACACCTTTCTCCAGTGCACGGTGTTTGCACAAATATTCAATTTGCTTCACGCTGACCAGACCTATTGTTACTGACAGGTGGCTGAACAGTAACTCAACAAACAGTAGGCGCTCAGATACCAATATTTTAAAGGGGGGCTAACTATTCATAAATGGGGGCGGGAGGGCGCATAAAACTTAGCCCCTAGCATCATGCGCTTATGACTGACGTGCTTGAAAATAATGTGTTGGTTGGGGTCGAAGCCCCTTCCCCATCCCCCCCCCCCCTACACACACACACACACACCCACGTGCGCGCTCACGCACGACTCCAACATGTATCCAGGCTGTAATATACATTAAGGACTACACCGAAAGCTTATGCAAAGTGAAAAAACAGCTAATATTCCAAAGTGTCGGAATGCGTTCACGAAGCATATCATCAAAAACTAAGACTGAGCATTTCGGGAGGTTGGAGATGTGTGGTTTCACGTAGTCTCCAGACACACCTTATGTCAAATTCAATAAACCAAAATCAATAAGGTGGGGTACAGACTATAAGCAAACAAAGCCTAAATTGAAATATATGCCACGTTCATGTCTTAACATATACATTACACGTCATACTTACAAACTGATTCTAAGGCATATCTAGTGCCCTGTCGAAGGTAAAATTATTGTCATCTTCAGTAAACTGTGCTCAACATAAAGAAGTACTCGGTCTTTGCGGCTGTCCTGACAATGTCAAACCTTTGCCAAGTCTCTTACTGCCGCCAACCCAGGTTAATGAAGCGAGGTGGCAACATCGTAATGACCCCGTTACATCACGGCGCCGGAATACCGTACAGGCAACATATAACAAGTCTCCCCACCAAGTAAATCTCCCTCCACGGGGAATGTCACATTATTCCGAATTCTTTCTTGTTGGGATCAAGATTAACAGTAGGCTACCGAAGTGGGATTATCCTGTACTGAAAGGGAACTCGTTCAGCAGAGCTACCTGGTGTTTTATTATAAGCTCTTGACCTCTGATCTCGGCTAGCCAACGGGTGTGGTCAGTCCCAAAAAGTCACGTGCTCCAGTATGATGACACCCGTCGGTTCTGATATCATTATTTTTCCCGTTGAATAAAAAAAACTTACTATTACTACTTCAAACCAGGTACTGGTGTAAATGTAGATGTTAGTAAAAAAAATTCTGGTCACTGCAGTCAATATTGTCTTTTCAAAACTGTTACTTTACAACCATGTATAAATCCTTCTGTGAACAAATATTGATACACGGTCTTAACTTCAATCTCTTTTTTATGCAGCACTTTGTATTGGTACGGGTCTTTAGCCAGTGTAATCCTGCGCTTCACCATTTTGTTTCACCGGTAGCTGTGGTTTTCAGTGACTTCCAGAGAGATAGAGACTAAAACTAAATACATCTTCAGCCCTGTCTCTTACAAAGAGGGGAGAGAGGGCTTACCTGAGCCTGCAGAAATACTGAAAAATTGCACCGCACCCCTCAAAACGTTCGACATGTGAAAGTGCTTTTGCCGATTTTGTGGCCAGATATTTGCCACTTTCAATTTCCCAAATTTATTACATTTCTATTATTATTATCAAGGTGTAGTATATGAATTCATAGCACGCGACTTACTCCACTTACAGGTGTGAACTGTCATATTTCAAATTGATAGACCTACAATCACGTCGTCAGGTGACAGTAATGTGAGGGTTACTTCTCCCGCCTTTATGTTTTAACACGATGTCTGTGATAAGAGGTGGTCCTCAAAAATAAATCTAACAGTCCATTTAGAATTTTTCCAGTCGTTCACGGACGTAAATGGACACTTGTTTAATTCTGCAATCGTCAGACAGTTCAAAGATGCGCCAGATTTCTAGCCGAGGCCGGGCAATGGTCGAATGTCATGACGTCACTCAGAAAATATGAAACCGGTTTTTGGTGCTTTTAAAACAGCTCAATCAGTTCACTGTACTATTCATATACAAAGATGGAAATGTTAGCCGGGTCAATATTGAACTCTGGCGGATTTTTCCCGTTTTTAACGACTCTACCGACTAAATTGGTTTGAAGGGATCAAAATATTGCCTATACTTACCACATACGGTACACTCAACAGCAGCCTCTCCTATACTCGGCTGTTAGTGGCAATACTACCCTAAACCACAGTCAAGTTTAACTCCATATTGGTATATAAAACTATATATACTTACGTTCCAATATATTCCCCTAAAGGCACGCCTGCTTTATTTTATTACAATTTTCAGATTACGCCAGAGGCTCGAGAGGTCCACAGTAAAAAAATTTACCAACTTCATCACGCATTTAGTTGCTCCTAGCTAAGAGACGACTCTTAGGACCTCGTCCTATGAAACCAGCATTACAATACGTATATAAATCCTAATGCAGCAACGATTATATCACTAAAACCTTTAGAAGGAGTACGATCAAGACTCAGAGTCTGTTTTAACGTTGTATGTAAGTCAGGCTGTTATTTTTTCACCATAAAGCCACACACAAATGCTAAATGCACGTGTAAATAGGCGTTTACTTTTCAATCATGAAGTACCATCGAGAACTTTCTGTTTGCTTACTTTCGTCCTTCAGTAGAGTAACACCTACCAAGTATTACCTAAAGTTCTTTGGCTGATTTATGGAGGACTGACGGACCTCGCTGCCGTCTGCTTTTCTCTCTTCTCTTTCTCCAGACACACCCTTACAATCCACGGCCCACACGGACCCCAGCGCAAGGTATGCCCCGTTTCTAATACCCACCTGCTATTCACGCAGAAGCCCTTCAGCCGATTTTTGACTGCCAGCGCTAACAAAACACTTTTGTGCTATTGTGAAAAAATATTTGATCATATTCGTATAAGGTCAAAGTCGATTGTTATATGTGTAACTCGACCTGAACGTTAAAAAGTGGTGAACTGGTATGAATTGGATGATTATACCCGTCTTTTCGCTGTGTTGGCACGTCCTGTTTTTCTTGCGTATAAGTGTAGGTGGAGGTAGGTAAAAGTGTATTTAATGGGCAGGCCTTGGTTTAATTTTGTTTCTTAGATCTTTCATTTTGCTATAGTGAGAGCAACTATGTCAACTCTCAGAATACATAGTTCGTTTGAGACTGGAAATCAAAATTTTGATTTTGCACTACGTATAGGTTCTATGAGCATAAATGCATAAATGAAGCAAGAAAATCAATTATAAAAAATATTACATCTCGTTATCTAAGCAGGAAAACCTTTAAGAAAAACGCGGGATGGGTGGAAAAACTTGCCGTCCTTCTTATAATAGACCGGAGATGTGGTCTTCTTGGAGCAGCACAAACGGACTTTTTTATATAAAAAAGCTAAATACAAACATCGAGTGATAAAAATTTAAGGTGAGTTATGGAATGGAAACACAAAATTGGAATGACTAATTTCAAACACGTTTTTTTCCTAACATATCCTCATATTAAGTAGTCACCCATCCCCTCAAAGAAAAAAATCGTTTGTTGCTTACACAAGTTCCAATAAGAGTTATACATAGTTCTCAGAAACATTTAGATTTCACACTTATTTACAAACTTTGCTTGCAATTACATATAACTGACCTAGATTAATTTCTACCGATTTATCGATTATTGCGCATCTTAAGCTGTGACCAGAGTTAAAGTGAATATCAAGTCATTTTACCTTCGTAGTGAGGTGAGTCGGAAATGTTCTACAACGTGTTGTCTGCTACTCGTTGTCCCCTCGTTGCCTTAGCGAATTAAGCAGCCGTCAAGACTCATATGCCTGCTCTTTCTGTCATTCTGAGCAGTTGTATGGTATATAGATAATTCCCACCTACCCTGATGCACACAATTGCTCATGTTCCACGGCAGCATGCATAATAAAATACTGGTATTTGTATTTCATTTTTAAAGCCGTGCAGCTAACAAGGTGCAGTTGGCATATAAATTTCGTAAACTGAACTGAACTGAATAAGTTACATAAATACCATCTATTAAAATGTCATTTTACGGGTGTGAAGTCCCATCGCACCAACAGCATAGTGCAACTAACAAATGACATCATAACATTAAGATCAAGTGTATGAATTTATAATTATCAATGCGGAAAGAAACAAAAATTATTGTTATAACACATGGCTTTGAGATTGCAGTCTTTGAGCGCATTCTCAACGAATTAAGCCAGGCTTTACAAAGCCGGTGACCTAAAAATGGCGGACGTACATGAAAGAAAAACCGCCTAATCTTTTAATAGTCTCTCCGCCTCCCCACACGTCGTCCCTGCGGGGTACAGTAATTAAATCTCGGCTCCGTTCGCCATGCGGAAGCTACCTGAGAAATATTAAGTGCGCATGCTCATCAGTTAAACTCGTGGTGAAGAAGGCATAGCGGCTGAAGGCGATCGAAAAAAAAGCTCTTCTGTTCTATTATCTTTGAAAACAGAGACGAAAAAGGAATAATTTGGCCCGTAGAGCAGCAATGAATCGACTATCTAAGGAGATAATATCACCAGAGATATTCACGGAAATATTAATGTTCGGAGCCGAGATTTAATTACTGTACCCCGCAGGGACGACGTGTGGGGAGGCGTGTGAGAGGCGGAGAGACTATTAAAAGATTAGGCGGTTTTTCTTTCATGTACGTCCGCCATTTTTAGGTCACCGGCTTTGTAAAGCCTGGCTTAATTCGTTGAGAATGCGCTCTTTATGTTGTGTTAGAATGTTAACAAAATGTCAAAGAGTAGTCTAAACAACATCCACGATAAAAGACAAAAAACTTTTGAAACGAGTCACACTAGTACAACATGTAGAGTATATGCCAGGTATCATAAAATCTTTTTTCAGTATATAATATCTAGTTTGTTGATGGTTGTAAGTCTATTTCAGCAAATTTTCTATCAGTCTTTTATTTAACGTGTTTCTGCTGGTAATAAATATTAAAATAAGCAGTATATTCGCCGTGCATATTGTTCAATGATTATGCAGACTGTGAAGTATGATCTGAAAAAAAAATGAATACTTAAAGACTTCAGGTACACGTGTCGTATGTTTTTAAAGAAACTTTGTTTTCGATAGGCCTGTGCAGGAGAATTCACTGAAAACCACAAGAAAATGGTCAGATGGTGCATGGGTTTTGTTTATAAAAATATGAATTTCTTCCTATAAATTGTGGATGTATGTTCTTATGATTTTCTGAAAATGCCATTAGCCAACCCGCTTTCTGTACAGAGGAAATCGGATTGTTATTATTCAGATTATTACTTATATCGTAAAATGCTCACTTAAAAATTCAACGTAAACGGCTCAAAAACCGTGTTGTGCACCTAAAGCGTGGAAATTTAATGCACTTGTTTCATATTGCATATTTTGACAGCAAGTAAATTCATTAAACCTGTGATAAAGGTGTAGGGAGAACGTGACTTGAGAGGACGTGACATTCACAATGACACAATTGCATCAGTTGAGCTCGTGTCATCTACCATGGACGCCGCTGTCTCACAAAAGGCAAGCAGACCCCGGAAGAGACTCTTTGTGTACCTGCTTTCATACATTGATTTCCATGTACAGCTTTACTAGTGACGTTGGTCTTTCCGTCCACCTGAAATCCCACATTTTGACCCACATTTCCCTGTTATTCAGTAAAAAAACTGGGTTTCCAATAGCCTCAGTAGAGCCATTCCATTAGCTGACAAACGCAGTGACGACCGTTCTGCTTGACGTAAGTATAAATGTTTACGGCTGATGTATATCGGCAGCATTATGTGACGTTCAAATTAAAGCACTGACACAACCACGTACTGACCACAGAGGCATGTACTGCATGTGGTATAGGAAGTGATTATACGTGGTCACCTGAGGGCACACACGTACAGGGGCGGATTTAGGCCGTCTTCTGGGTCTTCCGGAAGACGGTCAGATTTTCAAGTTTACATTGACAGGTATCCAATTTTTCATGTTGGAAGACGGTCAGAATTAGAGGGTGAATCAACAAAGATAATTTGGAAGACTGTCAGAAAATAGTTCTGGGTCCGCCCCTGACGTACACACACACACACACACACACACACACACACAAGCGCATTCACACAGGCCCACATACATGCACACACACACACACACACACCACCACCACCACCGCCACTACTTTTATAATAAAAATATTGGCGTTTTTATGTAACCTTAGAATCCAAGATATGGCTGCTCAGTGTGCCCTCAATTAACATTATCATCTCGGGTGGCGATCAATAGTGATAACACACAGCGATAATCGGGATAATACCTATGTAGCTACTAGTGCCTATTTAGAATGTCGAGACAGCTCCAAACATGCACTGTAATATGAATATTCCATAAATACATGCGCTCGTCATCATCAAAGATAGGGTGGAGTGCGCCCCGCCCCGCCCCCCCCCCCTTCCTCCCCTAGCTTACAATAAAAAATATGTTTATTCAGTCCCATCCTTCCTAAGATTGGACATAAAATACAATCTGACCTCCGTTCATATGGCTTCATTCGATCATCATGGGAGAGAGGGCCGAAAAGAGCGACTTTTTCCACCACCCTACCCCTACCCCTACCCCGCCTGCTTCTTTTGTGAGGTCGGCAGGCTGTGTCACGGCGGAAATCTGCTTACTTGATTTCTATTGAATCTAGACATGGATGGTCGGGGTTTTTTTTCTTTTGATTTCAATTTTCGTGACATGGGGTGTGAAAGTGTTACGGAAAGGCAGTATGTTGATTTATATCTTCATTGATCAAATGTACCGTGATTTTGATTCGTTAGGCCTGCGACTTAACTCCGTCCGAATAAAGATACAAATATTGATGTCTTTTCCTCTTGGCAGATAGGATATAAATCACAAAGCATATAGCTATATTTTTTCTTCTAGGTAAGGTATCCACTGATTACCATAAAACTAATTTAGAATGAGTAGGCCTATCCGTATAAACAACATGTTATATCGCTACCATTTCCCTTTAACTCCTCAGTTATGTTTATTTTAATTTATTTTTAGTTTTCTTCTTTTTTCAGGCAGACATAAATTAGGATAGGACCTAGGACCCCAACTCGCTCATTTCTCTTAATGCTCTGCGAGGTTTGCATGTTTCATTCCAAATTTTGACAATTGAGCAGATCAGCACCAATCGCCATGTTCAGACGGTTCAGAAGAGAGAGGGATGAGCCACCTGATGGCGCTATTCGCAAGCTGGGCTTTAACGAGGATGGCTGTGTAGCCCTTGGAGAAACTGTTTCATTTCCTGTCACATTTGCTGTGTTTCTCAAATCAAAAACTGAAATAACTCACGAGATGATGCTGAAATCGTTACAGGCCGTCACCCGAAAACACCCACTATTGAGAGTTAAAGTTATCAAAAATAGCGCCGGTTACAGGTACTACGTCCCCATCGACAACTGGGAAGGTTGTCTCAACTTGACAACGAGAAAAGCAACAGATTGGCATCAAATTGCAGCAGAAGCTGGTGACAAGAAAATCGATGCATCAGCCGGTCCTCTTTGGTTTGCAGATTTGTTGGAAATGGAGGAGTTGGAAGGAACGGAAGACAAGAAGTCCTACGTTCTTATAATGGTTTTCAACCATGCCATTTTGGATGGCAAAAGCGGTGTGTTCGTCATGAATGACATCGTACGAAATCTGAATTTAGCAGTAGATGGCTGTGTCGACCAAGATGAGGCAGAGATATTACCGATAGCGCCATGCATGGAAGAGGCTTTGCCGCCAGAGATTCAGTTGGGGTTTTTCGGCTTTCTCAAATTGCTTTTTGTAATAGCCAAATTAATGCGGAGGGGAGTAAATGAGTATATGAAACAGTATCCAGCTCGTGTCCAAAGAGAACCTGACGTGAAAATCGGGACTTATTTTTATGATTTTTCTATTCCAATGGCGCCCCTCCTAGAGCGATGTAGGGCTGAGAAGGTCACGGTGCAAGGGGCAGTCACAGCTGCAGCCTATATTGCACTTCTTCACGTCATAAGAGCGAAGAACCCTGAAATCACAAAAATCAAGATGGGCTCCAACTACATAGCTGACTACAGGCGATTTTGCAGGCCGGTTTTGGCTCCCGATTTCATGGGGTTTCATGCAGTGGCATCGCTATTAAACCCCGTTGAAGTGACGAGCAACGTGTCAGACCCCTCATACTTCTGGTCCATCGCACGACGAGTTACAACGGAGATCCACGAATACATCGGCGACCAAACCAGACCTATTCAGATGCTTCGACTAGCTAGCCGCCTAGTGAGCTACGAGAGTTTGGGAAAGAAAATGCCGGCACAGAGAGCTCGCGGAGAGAGAGCTGCCGATGCTTTTGGGGTGTCCAATATTGGCAACGTGGATCCAATAATGACCGCCGGTCAACCAGGGTCCAGCGTGGAGGTCACCAAGGTTTTGTGGGGTACCAACGGAGCCAATATTTGCCCACCTTTCATGCACTTTCTGATGTCGGTGAGGGGGAAACTGGTGTGGACCCTGAATTGGTACTCGAACATCTCCACTGAGGAAGAGGCCGAAGCGTATGCTAAAGAAATTCAAGAGGTCTTGAATCGCGCCATTCTTTAGCCACAGTTTAGGTGCTCGTGGGATGATTGGCGTCGCATGCACCAAATAATGACATAGCGGTTACACCATTTGTGACACATCCTGGTTTTCGTTGCACCGTATGCACGATTTCCAGGAAGAATGTAGCATATCTAAAGAAGCAAGTTTCCTGTTGACTGTTGTTTTAAATTTGGAGGAGTCCGCCAACTAATGTGATTTCTCAATTTCTGTAGCATGAAAAGACTGAAAAAGGTCCACATAAACAAGAAATGTAAGAACGTTAACGTTAGACCATTTGTGTCCTAATCTCTGTCACATTCTGATTTTCTGAAGCACCATATTAAACCTCGATTTTAGCATAGCAGACGCACATATTTGATATTAGACAAAATATTGATTTTTTTTTTTGTTTTTGTTTTTTCTGTGTTCTGGATGACAGGAATGAAGACAAGATGGTAAACGACGTGACTGTAATGTGCATAGCCGCTGAAACCGACAACTCTGAGTCTCAGTTGGAATGTATGCTTGTAATTTTAATGTTATACAGCGTACCCTCTACTTACCACCCATGCATGCGCTTACGTTGCCCCCTTTCCCAGTCCCTGCAAAGGATAGCCCTTTCTAGATCTCGAGGCTTTCAATTTTAGCATCGTTTTCTAAAATTCCTTGTTTTTTATTGATTTTTTTTTCAATCGGACATGTCGTGAAGTCGAAACGGAAGAAAGTCGGCCTGTTCACTGTATTGTTACTGCGTACGTACTTTACCTGTGACGATGCGATATTCAGAGTTTGTCGATGTTTTAAGCGCAAATAAATGAATGTCTGTTATGCTATGAACAAAACATTTTGTTATCATATATTGGAAAAGTCTTTAAAAAGTTTATGTGTTCTGATGGCCAGACTTTTATTGTGATTATATAGTTTTTTATTCAATAATGATGCTACACGTATAAATAAGATTGACTGAGAGATAATTTCCTGACACAGGCACTGGTCAAGTGTTCGCGCCAGCACACCAGTAGATGCATGTAGTGATATCAGCTTAAAGGGAAACTCCATAGATTTACCCGCCAAAATGGATATTCCGGAGAAATGAGCAATTTCTTCTTTTTCACGAATCATTTATCTTTCCATTTCTGCACTTGGATTCGACCTTTAATTTTTAAATTTTTAAAATGTTGATTTAGTTTAAAATTACTGGCCAGTTATTATAACCAGCGACCGTCTTCTAAAAATATCAACATCAGGTACACGCCAGGAAAAATATTGAAGGGCTTAATTCGTCTTTAAGATGCATATTAATTTTTATTAGAAGATGTGGATGGCAAAAATGAGCACTCATCTGTGGTGGATTTTCAAACCCATAGAGTGTAACTTTAATCCACCCTATAGATCGTCGACTTTCGAAACTATAACTCTCATGTGGTGACCGCTTGACTGAGGGACGTTTATAAATCATCTTGATATCGATAGCTTCATCAACCAAGATATTTTATTGGGATACCCTCTTCTACGTAACCCATTTACCCCAGTGGTTCCTCTGTCGGTAGTCTGTTCCGACTTTCTGTTGTGGAGAAATGTCCCAAGAATGTTCGCTCATTCATAAAACGGCCTCGATTAGTGGTAATTTATGGGACAAATTGCGCATTCCTGAATAATAGTAAATGCTCGCTTTGAATCGAGGTCGCTGTTTTTTTTTTTTTTCACTCTTGTGCAATTTACAGTGGTTATACCTTCCAAGCCTCAGTTTTCAATAATGTGTTTATTTTTTTCTTAATTGGCGCGTTAGGCACCTTTTTAATGTATATTTGAGAGGAGTGCTTCGAGAAAGTGAGCCCCCGTGCTTGGGTATTTTCAAGAATAGATTTTCATCGTAGATTGTCTCTCTTTTTATCAGTTCACCCGGTAGGTGAAAGCCATTTGTAAAATCATTCACAAAACTATATAATACATACCACATTTTAAGTACATTAAAGGGATAATAACTCTTCGTTTTGGCCAAAAAATGAATTTTCCTGGAGTAAACAACAATTTTCCCATACTTACCAATGGTTAATGAATCCATTTTTGCATTCAAAGTTAGTCCCTGTTTTTTTTCTAAAAAGTTTGGTTTTTCGTTAAAATCTCTTAAGAGATTATAACAGAGTACAGCCATCAATGGAAGTCACGTGATCTGAAGACAAGCTCAGATATCAGAATAATAGCTATAACTGCTGTTTTTGTGGCAAAACAGAATATATTATATTTCTATGAGTTGTTAACAATGTTTTTATTGTGAAATAAAGATATCATACGAAGAGTTATTATCCCTTTAAGATCATAGCATAAACATAATTTTCTAAACTACATAGCCTTTTTCACATAAGTCAATAATGCTACATTTTAATTTTAATGTAAATCAATAAAAAACATGGCAACATCACAGATATAAATTGAAAATACTGAATATTGAAGGGCACCATGACCGAACATCTTTACATACCTCACTACTTAATATTTACTACTTTACTATAAAATAATCCACTAATAAAATGTGAAATAAACCCTGTTTTAATGTCAGCTCAAACTGGTTAAATCCTATTCCTCTTAAAAAACATTTTAACATAATTATTAATGCACCATTGGAAAAGTATGACACATGAAAATCATTAGATCTAGCCAGTAAAAATATATACTTTTGTTCTGTAGACTAGCTCGGCATAGACCAGATGTAGTCGTAGTCATTTTTAATTATAACTTAAAACCTACTCTTCTCTAGAGATTCCACTGTTTATAATAGAAAAAGTGCTAATTTATCATTAAATTAAATTTTCAATGTATCTTTTGTTTGGACATGCCAGTAACTGCTCCAGAATCTGACTTTTACTGAATTTATAGAAATGCACTCACACAATATAGAGCTCAATAATAAGACCCATTTTTGACTCTATCGCATTTCTGAAGAATTGAGTGCCTTTATTTGTTTGTGTAAATTCAACTTACAACTTAAACTTCAACTAACCATTACAAATGTGATAAAGCTACATCCAGGTTTTCAAAATAAAACAAAAGTAACAGACAAGTGCACCCTCTCGTAACCAGGCCTGAGTAAAAATAATCGTGAGCACCTGTACAGACTCAAAAGTTACCAAATCAAGTCCTAGATTACAGTTAAGACTAGTTAGAAGAAATACATGTAAGTACTGTTCTGTGTGGAGCTTTAAAGTAAGGGACCATTCTAAATCACATGGTCAATTCTAGTAAATAACCTAAATGCTATCTAGGTTAAAAGTATACTTTCAAATTGGTTTTCTTACAGATTACATACTTTCATGAAAATAAAAAAACCATAATATCTTAACAAAATTAAGATAATCAAAATAGTGCCAACACAGAAATAAAATAATTCTATAAAATCACATTAATACAATAAAATGCTACATAATTTAAATAAAGCATACTTCATTAAAATTCTACAAACATCATCATCTAGAAAATCTATTAACCTATACTAAAATCACACACTAGAGACAAATGATCTGACGGATAGTTGAAAGATGGCAGTTTGTTCACCCCCATTTCTTCTCCTGTGGGGAATTTTAACACTCTGTCTACTGTAACACTGGACTTGGTGTACCACATGTAGTCTAGGGTTTTACAGCTCTCACGAATGCTCCCTGTTGCTAATCTCCCACCTCGTATCTTCCACGTTGTGTATGGGGGCTCGGTTCCATCCTCTGTAAGTTTAGTATATGCACTCCCAAAATTCAAGTCACTGTTTTTAAATGTAGAATAGACTGGTTCGTTAGGATCTCCATTGAAATCTCCCATAAATATAAGTGGCGAACTGCCAGCTATCTCTTTTATTTTTTTCAGTAGGTAGATACCCTGGAGATTACGGAACTCTCCCCAACCTTCCCTGGCTTTCAAATGTGTGACCCCCACATAAAATTCCTGACCAGAAGAAGACGCATCATCATGGTTGCAGTATTGCAGTTTCTGAATTATTGCCACCTGGTTGGTTGACGCATTTTCCTTTTTCAAATTGACATTGTGTATACTGATCGACTTTAGTTTCTTGGTATTATGAAAGATGGCGCAACCGTCTGGTCCATAGGACTCATCACAGTAGAGACAAGGGGAATCGGGCTTAGGGTAGAATGTTCCCTTGTAGCCAATGCTTTCTAATGCTGATTGAATAAACTCGTATTGGTCAACTTCCTCCAGGCAGATAACGTCTGGTTCATAGAGTAAGAGTTCCTCAAGGATGTGTAAACGCCTGGGTTTCCACTCTAGAGCCTCTTTGGGACATTTGATGAAATTATCTGCACCCAGGCAAAGGGCTGAAGTAAAGACAGCATAATTAAACATTCAGTAGTAGACATTTTTTTAATGTATCTCTTCATAAAATAAGAAACAGATGTATAATGTTGAAGTTCAAAAAGAAATAACAGCAGGTAATCAAAATAATAATCAACAGGTTGCATGAGAGGGTAAAACCTACCAGTACCAAACAGGTTTGGTGGGTCCAAGTGTGAAGTCATAATTTCTGTACATACTATTACTTCTATGCAGACAAATAACTTATAATAATGTTAATCTCAGAAAGGTACAATTTCAAAGTTCAAGAATAAAATAGCAATGACAATATCTTTGTTCACATAACATACCCTGAGCAAGTAAATTCCACTGAAAAATCCGGACTTTAAATGGTGAGGTAGATTTTTGATCAATCCCCACTTGACCCCTGTCTGAAGTATTTTGTGTCTTCTTGCTGACATCCACAAACTCTCTCTTCAAGAGGGACGGGTATCCATTCAAAGTTGCCCGCACATACTGTAGAAGTTCCAGATGTGTTGACGGCGAGGTAAATTGTGTCTCGTACTGGGTGCTCATGGACCTGTTCCCCATTTTTAAGACAAGTCTGTAAAGAAGCAAAGAGTTAATAAAGCAACATAGGATACACACACAGTTATGATTAAATGGATAAGGAAGGAAAGAAAATAGTAGCGTTTAAAACATTGCCCTCTAAATTTCTTTGACAAATATTCAACAATTATCCCAACTACCTGGGTATCTTTCATAAGTCTATTAATTTTTTTTAAGTCTATGGATATTTTTTTAACTTAGATCAGGGGATATTTGGTACTTGAGTGCATCTCCATACCGGGCACTTACCACAACATAGTTCGGGCAAAATTGCCAACCGCAGTGTATGGATGTTATCTACCAAAACTCTATGTTACATAAGTAACCCAGATACAGATAATGTGCAGGTCATCATAACCTTTCACTGAAACACACTGGCTCTGTGTGTGTGTGTGTGTGTGTGTGTGTGTGTGCTCTTGTGCACGCATTCTAACCGAGGACACACACCCGCCCGAAACCCACTAACCGAGGACACACCTCCAACCGAGGACGTCCTCGGTTGACATAAGCAGTGGAATGCATAAAGGGGCCCATTTCAAGTTAGGTGGTGAAATTTGACGCTATTCTGAGCCAGTCCTCGGTTATGCTGTATAGCGCGGGCCAAATTCCCGCCACGAGTGTATCAGAAATACTGTCCAACTTTTTGTCTGAAATCGGGCTATACACACGCGTCCTCGGTTGTGCTGTAAAGGGCGGACCAAATTCCGCGTCCTCGGTTGTGCNTACACTCTCTCTGTGTGTGTGTGTGTGTGTGTGTGTGTGTGTGTGTGTGTGTGTATATATATATATATATATGTGTGTGTGTATATATATATATATATATGTTTGTGTGTGCTGTATATGTGTGTGTGTGTGTGTGTGTGTGTGTGTGTGTGTAATAGCTACATTAATGTGATGATATTCATTTTTGATGCCACTGGTCCCATACTATTCTAAAACTAAAGTACCACATAAATACTGTATTTTCTCATGCCCCCCTCTCTCCACCCATCCATCATCACCCTTTGTTCACAGGGCCATTGTACATAATGCTCTTCACAGCTTACACACATGCTGTGGAGAACATATATACACTAACCATAAACATATACATTGTACACTGTACACCTGAGTCAAGTTAAATACCTGTATATACAGCCCCATCCTCTGCAGCTTGTGGAAAACATTGGGCTGGGTAAGAGCTAAAACCTTCTACTAATTCTCTCCTTTAACAGCTACCAAGTTTCTCATATATTCATACACACTAGACTGGATACACATGTACTACCCTGTGTTCTGCTTGACCTCGGTGCAAAGAGTGTTATTGACCTACTTATTTAAATGCCTTGCTATATTTACATACTTGTACTAGTAGTCTCTTGCAAAGGGCACCTGTAAGTAGCCTCTTAACAGAAGCAGTGAAAGAGCAGCAGTCATTTTGCTTGGTGCATGTTTTTAAGGATTAACTAATTCCCCTTACTGTGACAGCCATAAAAACCCTGGTAAAATTAACACGTAAAATCTGTTGATGATAATAACAGGAAAAATATACTTTTGATATATTGGTATGCATGTTTCCTGTGCATACCTTCAAACTGCAGGTCTAATAGAATGCATTTTTTCCAAAATTAATCAATCTCTTTCAGATATGGAAACATATGCTTATCATACTTAACTTACTTGTGTCATATTTAAGCTGAAAATGGTTTAAGGCATTTCCTTATAGCTTTCAGAGGCTGAGAGTAATGAAGTTGTAACAGTTAAATACTTTCCTGCTACTTCAATTTTCTCTAATTGATTAATTGCTGGCAAAGCAGTTCTACAATAACTCCCTCTTTTAATATTAAAAAAATATCCTACAAGTGTAGTTTCTAAATGCCACATAATTCTGTTACTTCATGCTTTATCAAATATGTAACACAGAAAATAAATTTTGTCCATTCTACATTCCAGTAATTTACTTTTTATACTCTTACCTTTTTCCTGCCTTGAGTTGTTTATGAAATGGCACTGTCAGGGATCTAGAACGTGGTCTTAATAAACCAACTCTCATGAAGTTTTCCTATCAATTAAAACACATCTCTGGGTTGGGGTTTCACAACTGGAAAGAAGAGCAAAACACAGGTTTGAATATTAGGTTTGCAGCATCCCCAATTCTCACCATAATTCAACTTAGTTTTATGTTCTATGCCTTAGTTCTAGTACAATATATTTGGTTTAATTTATAAATGTTCAATAACTGCAGATTGGCTTGATTACTGTATATGCATGCACTAGTAAGTCAAAAATGAATTATACACACATACTTTTTCAATAAAAACTCTCAATGCAATACTTCTAACTTGGACATACTGTATATAACATTTAAACTTAGAATCCTTAAGATTTAAATATATTTTTCAGTGCCCAAAAATAAATATAACTTCATAACAAATGATTTATTTTAGCTCACTTTCTCATTTAATGTGTGGCACAAACGTGATCAAGAGACAATACTGATAAAAATAAATACGCAAAATGAAAACGGCGGTAATTCTTCTTAGGCAAACAATGTGAGTGTGAGTCACACTTTGTCATTATATTGCTGCAGTCCGAAAACTGAGACACATTTGTCAGCATGTCACTAAAATAGTGAAGTGAATCATTGGTCAGTGTCCTAAACCCGGGTACTGTCATGAATCAAGCACGGAGCCTTTCTTTCTTTTGATACACGGGCGGATTCCTTTAACGGTAAATGTTAATGAATAATGCTATTCAGAACTGCAAGATCCTTTAAATAAAATTAATTTTCAAAACGACAAAAGGCGATGACAGAAGACTTAAATGTCCGTTTCTTCCATGGCAGTCCTATTTCTCTTCAAATAATTTCATTGGGACAGACAACATGCGTTGTGACATTTAAATCTTAATTTACAAACTGTTATGTACATGCATCTGTCCTACCTTTCTGGACCACCTGTCCAAAATCGCTTGGGATTCTCTTTTATAATGACGTCATAGCCTCAGGTTCGAATCAGATTAAAAATAAAATGCTCAAAACCATCAGTAGTTTACCAAAAACGTCTAAATTGATATAAATATATATCATCTACTCTGCATCAATTAATGTTTCTCCAAATGAATATAATAAATAAGTTTTACATTGATAAGCACATCAATTTTCCCAGCATGCACCGTTTAGGAGATTCCAGAAAATCCCATTTCCGTCATGGCTGAGGAGCTCTTCAGGTAGGCAGCGTATTTGGTTCGATGCATTTCCTTGGTTGCCGTTCCGATTATTGAAATATTGATACCTGTTCACCCTTAATTACCCCATTAATATTTTTTTACTGTTTTAGTAAAGGGAACGAAGCGTTCGTAGCAGAAAACTACGAGGATGCAGTCGAGGTAAGGGACATGATAAGGATCTGATTTGGGGGTTTCCCCATAATGTCAGTCTTTACCACAACCGAGATTTCTTGCAAATGAGAGTAAACCCAGCTTCATTTGTTGAGGCAGTGCCCATTTTTATCAGTGTAATGATTGGTAGTAATTTACAGCTGTCTACTAAAACTAAATAACTAAATGTCTTTAAGAAATTTTACAAGTCATAGTACATGTCTAGCTAAACTAAACGTTTATGTTTCATTTTTAAGGAATGTTTTCAGTACACATATAATATCTGATGCTGCCGGTGCAGTCTTGCCTGAGGTAGACTAAATACATGGTCATATTTTAAGTTTATGTTTTTCAGCTTTATTCCTCTGCAATTGATACAGATAACAGTAAGGCAGAATTCTTCATACACAGAGCCCACGCATACATCAAACTTGAAAATTATTCGGGTAATTTGTTTTGTGCCTTTAGATTAAATTAGGATTTATGTTTTTATTTGGTCATAAATGTTAAATTCCCATTTTACTAAGTAAGTTATCATTATATCAGATTTTAATGGTGTTTCGACATACATTTTTTGACTCCCTCACATGGTAGCGTGCATAGAAAATCCAAAATGATTTTTCTATTTATTTATTGTTCTTGTATAATTTGTAAAAATTTTATAGATGCTCTTGTGGATGCAAGAAAAGGGATAGATCTGGATCCCAAAAATGGAAAAGCCTACCTGAGGGAGGGGTGAGTTAAGTCTAACTTCTGTCTTGATTCATGCATTTAAAGTGGAATGCTTTTGTGTAATTTGCCTATGTCGTTTTTTTTTTTTTTTTTTTTNTATTTAATAAACATTGTTGAGAAATGTTCAAGACTTCACAGAATCACATCATCCCAAGAATTGCGTGTTTCCAGTCCTTATCTCTCTCTCTCTGAAAGTTGTTTCCTGTATTCTTTGCAGGGTTGCCTTATATCACCTGGATATGAAAGCAGAAGCCAAAGGGGCATTTGAACAGGGCTTGAAATATGATGGTAAGGTTCTTGAAACCACTGCATCCAATTTATAATTGATAGATACAATGTGGTATATTAGAGAAAAGAAAATGCTAGTGCTAAAGAAAATGCACTTTCCTTGTAAGCATTTTTTTCCATTTAATTGATTTAAAGATGAGATAAGAACAGGCGAGTGCCACCAGTTGACCACATATGCAGTATCCTAGACACGATTGTATTGCTGAATTTTCTAATCTATGTGCATTAAATGTTGTTAGTCTAAAAGTTGAATTTTTGTCCTGACAGTTTGGCTGAAATCAACCAGTTCTGATCACAGTTTGTAGTATTTAAATGGTGTACTTCCTTTTCTTCTAGTTTCTGCTTGTTGTCAGTACATTTGACAGCTTTTATGCCTTTTCTCCTATTGTTTGAAATAGGTTCTGACAAAACCCTGAATCAGTGGTGTGACAGATGCGTGAAGGAACTTTCAGGTAAATGAATGAAGAAAAATGTGGACTATTTGTCTAATATATGATTAAAGCATATACTAAAATAAATGCATTATCGATAATATTGTTTTTGTGCAAGATGCTTTCAATTAATATTTATTAATGATTTAATTGCAAAGTTTATTGCTAAATTAAAACAAGAGGGGGGTTGTGACCTGAGACGCGGCATTCACTTGTCAACATTCTGTTTGTTGTAGAACCGACCTCTCAGGCAGTGCCAAAAGGAGGTCAGCAGTCCACTCCACAGACTATAGCAATGCCCATTCCAGCAAAAATAAGGTAAAGGAGACCATTACTTTTGAGAAAATGGAGTGTTTTCTGTTGCTAACAGAAAAAAAGAAAAATTACTTCAGCCAAAGTAATGGATAAATTCCCTGCTTTCTAAGATAGTATTATTTTATACAAGTTTAACAAGTAAGACTAGTTTAGATGATACCATTATTGATTTTGTAGTAATAGTTTGGATTTTTGTTTTTTCATCTTTTATAGGCATGACTGGTATCAAACAGAGACACATGTCATTGTCACAATTTTAATAAAAAATGTCAAAAAAGAAGATTTGACAGTGGAATTTCAGGAAAAAATGGTGAGTGTATAAATAATTTGGACTTTGCATCGTGCCACAACCACAGTTTTTGAACGCCTGTAAAATCCAAAATATTTGCTTAGATACAGTCAAAATTGATCTATTATTACATGGTATACATTTTGGTAAAATAAAACAACAGAAGAAAGAACATACATCTGAACCATTTGAAAAATCTTGGAATTAAAATGAGGATTTTTATAAGCTTAAAAAAAGTTTTTTTCTTGAAGAAGACTGTTACACATATAAGTTGTGAAAGTAGTATTATTGGCTGGTTACAGTTGCTCACAGAGCAAGTGTGATGATCAGAGAAAAACAAATTCCGAATTTCATCAATTTGCAATACAATTTTCCTCGTTGTAGTTGAGTGTCACCATCAGGTTGTCCTCAGGCTCAGACTACAGTCTGGAACTGGACCTGGCCAACCACATAGTACCAGAACAGAGTATCACAAAAATTCTCAGCTCAAAAGTAAGTGGATTTTAAAATCACATTGGTTTTGGTTAGACTTCTATAAATGAATGTATTTTGGTTAATGTCCTGATTTATCCCTCCTCCTTATAAGGAAAAGAGTGGTTGAGTTTATTTTTGCTGTTTTGTGTATTTACTAATATCTGTTCCATGTAAGATTTCACTGAAAATGACATGTTTTAAGAGACATAGTAAATCTGATTGTCATGGTTGTCATGATTGATTGATTGATTAATTAATTAATTTAGTATGTTAAGTTAGTATAAAAACCTTAACAGATATTTAAAATACATGTATTGAATACCACAGCTCTTTACCTGCTTGCTTTGTTTGATTTCAGATTGAAATAAAAATGAAAAAAGCTGAAGGGGTGAGGTGGACACATTTAGAGGGAGATTCAGACGAAAAAATTAAACAGTTCAAGCCAAGTAAGTTTTTACCAGTAATTTAGCAATCAACTTCTTAAGTGTTAATGCACATCCAGAGCCATAGCAAATTAAAGTGGGAATCGTGGTACTGAGGTACTCAGATGTCTTAATGTGATTTCCTACCACAGATGTTGAAATTCTAATTCTAATGCATTTTAGGGGGGGCATTTTTTTTTCTTTTTTTGTGTGTGTGTGTGTGGGGGGGGGGGGGGGGGGGGAATTGAAAAAAAAGTGGTATTAAATTTTCCGTTTTNTTAAGAGACATTGTAAATCTGATTGTCATGGTTGTCATGATTGATTGATTGATTAATTAATTAATTTATTATGTTAAGTTAGTATAAAAACCTTAACAGATATTTAAAATACATGTATTGAATACCACAGCTCTTTACCTGCTTGCTTTGTTTGATTTCAGATTGAAATAAAAATGAAAAAAGCTGAAGGGGTGAGGTGGACACATTTAGAGGGAGATTCAGACGAAAAAATTAAACAGTTCAAGCCAAGTAAGTTTTTACCAGTAATTTAGCAATCAACTTCTTAAGTGTTAATGCACATCCAGAGCCATAGCAAATTAAAGTGGGAATCGTGGTACTGAGGTACTCAGATGTCTTAATGTGATTTCCTACCACAGATGTTGAAATTCTAATTCTAATGCATTTTAGGGGGGGCATTTTTTTTTTCTTTTTTTGTGTGTGTGTGTGGGGGGGGGGGAGGATATGTATAGACAGATGGTTACACATTTACTGTTTGGCATACAATTTTTTTTAGAGACATTATTTTGAAAACATTAAAATTAGATTATAACTTGTATATCAGAGAAGAATTTCATCAGCTGTGTTATGTTATAAGAATAAAGTGATTTTTTCTACAGTCAACAATTTATTATATAGTTTTCAACTCCAATATTTGGATGTCTAGCCAAACATCTTCATTCTTTTTTCACCTTCTAGCTCCATCAACCCAACCAAAGTCAGACAACCCTGACATCCACAAGTACCCCTCCTCCAGCCACTCCTACCACGACTGGGACAGGATGGCCGCCGAACTGGCCAAGGAGGAAAAAGAGGAAAAACTGGAGGGAGACGCAGCCTTGAATAAACTATTCCAGCAAATATACAGCGATGGCAGTGATGAGGTCAAAAGGGCCATGAATAAATCTTTTGTGAGTTGATAAAAATGTTTGATTCAGAAGGCTCATTCCCAATGAATCTGTGTAGAATGATCCAACTCTGCCGGGAGTCTCACAGAGTTGGATTGATCTATTTAGAACAGTAGTTTCACTGGGAGTGAGCCCATAGATTTTACCAGGGTGTTATTAGTGTTTAGGTTGATGATAGGTTCTTCTTCTAACAAGAATAATGGATTGGAGTTATTCCCACTCAAATATTTCAGTGTTTCACAAGACTTCTATGAAAGTAACAAAGAGGGGGAGGGCTAACCCCACTTCCAAGCAGAGGTGGCAACAACATTGATAGCTTATTTCCCAGGTGAAGGTGCCATGTGAGACACAGAACTATTAGAGTGGTCATATTATTTTTATTAACAGTTGTTGGAGGAATCTGTTATTATTACACGAGAGCATAACACAGCTGGAGAGATTATTTGCCAGTGATTTGATATTAAAAAAAAACAACATCTCTACCAGAACAGCATTCATGATTGCAGTTATGAAGAACAATTGTTGTCACAGCTGTTAGTATAAAAACAATTCTTAAAGATTTGTTTTCTTTGGTGATATAAAAATTCATAACCATATTAAGAAATTGTGGTGATCAGTTGTTATCAGAAGTGCACTGCCCCTAAAATTGTCATCTCTGTGGAGGTTTATGTAATTTGATCATGAGAACTGTACTTTCTCTCTCCTCTTCAACTATAAACAATTTTCATTTCAGAGTGAGTCAGGCGGCACAGTATTAAGTACAAATTGGGGAGATATTGGAGCCAAGAAAACAGAAGTCAAGCCTCCGGATGGGATGGAGTACAAGAGTTGGGAGTACTGAAACCATTTCTGGTTCACATAATCGAGCAATATAGTGCAGATATTCCTGTGTTTGACTACATAAGCTGAGCCAAATGAAATTATGTCTCAAGGAGTGTCATACCTGAAATTTGAATGGGAAGCTAATTCTCTCCAAAATTTGACTGGTTTTGCAAACTCACTAAGTGAACAACAATTCTTTGAACATTACTAGATGGGTTTGAGGACTGTGTCATGGATGTGACGAGGACTGTGTCATGGATGTGACGAGGATTAGATAAATTTCACACTGTACACAGCTAACACAATTGGGACAATTTTTCTGATCCATGGCTCCAAGCTTGTGATTAACTCAATTCTATTATCTAATGGATTGAAAGAACTCAAACTATGGCGTTTAACATAAAGATGCATAATGCAGTTTCCTAACTAGCATCAACAAGAACATTACTTTTTTTTTTTTACTTTTTTGACTAGGTATTCGATTTCAACATTTTGAGATCCTGTTTAGCATGTGGATAGCCCTGTGAATGATATGATCATTAAGATGTTTGTAAATATGTATATGCATTTTAGATTTGCTTATGATGCACTGCTGACTAGATATTTTATAATCAGGATTGCTGTATGTGTACATGTCACTCTTAAATGAAATTTTCAGATGGCTTCACAAAATTTATTATACACAAGGGAAAGGAACATGTTTCCCAAAAAAAAACCACGAGTGAATCTAACTGAAATTTAATCCATATCTGAACTGATGTTCTGGACGATTTATTGTCTATAAAGACTTGGGTGAATAAAGATATTTTGCAAATAATAATACTTTATAAAGATATGTTATCTCCACTCCTTCATATTTATATACGGAAGAAATTATGGGGATAAATGTAACTGACTACAATCATACAGAAAAACGCATGCCGTCCACTATGATAAAGAATGCTGTGTCAGTTGCTAGACATCTCCATAATGTGGCTGTAGCAGGGAAGAGTGGGTTTTAGGTGGTATCCATGAGATGGAATGTTTTAATTTAGAAAATCTATATGTTGTAAAAAAGCTTTGATATCGGGATGAGTTTGTCAGGCAAGATGGGAGGCTGGATCCCCTGATTGATTTAGGGGTCATTTTAAGAACAGAAGATCGAGTATCAACTGATTCAAGGATCCTACACGACAGGGAGAGCGCTTAATCCTGTACATTGGGGGATTTAGGGGGGTCCTGACCCCCCCCCCCTTCGATTTCTGAAATAAATCACAACAATGCACCTCTCTTAAATTATAATTTTGAATAGCTGAATCATAGTTTGCAAGCGTACCAAATGGCACTGTTCCCCCTCTAAAGTACCAAAATTTTTCGGGGCACTTTAGTGGGGCCAAACCCCATGCCAAGGTGGGTGGGGGGGGGGGGGGGGGCTTTGCATCATTATATGAAAAATATGAATAATGCCAGAAGCAAGATGCTACTAATTGTGAAGTTTCTTTTTTTTTTTTTCTTGCTTTAACATTAATCGGCTGATGAATTCAACTAAGTTATAACATAGTAGTCTCTACTTCTATGGTTATAATAAGGATAAATTTGATGAACGCAATAATGCCTAAAATTACAAATCTCAAAATTAATTATTTTTGAATCGTGAGAAAAAGAAACCGTCTTATTGGACAACCACAGCACCTTTTTGCATCTGTCAAGTTGAAGTGTCGCACCTGCTCTATTCATGACAATGAACATCTACTTTTAGATCTTGTTAGCCTGGAGAGACGTGTTTCAAGATGGTTCGACCAATATGTACCTTGTGCACACTTGCTAACAAGACTAGTGCAAGTCCCAACGTCGGTATCTATTTTAGCCATTTTATTGTGATCTACCATTTCTTTTTCTTATTCAATAGGGGGTGTTCGTGCAATTGACTTGGCTTGTAGCGTCTTAATTGCATTTTTAGGATGCGGAAAGCGAGACTATCAAACGGGCAAACAATTATTTTGTTTCTCATTGATTTGATGTCATCTTTACCTGGCGGAAAGGAGGGGTTCTAAATTTTTTCTCTTCGTTATTTCCACGTTATATTTTTGGCACAGCGCGTATTTGTCTCCGGCACTTAGATGGTTACCCAACTGGAGTCACTAAACCACATTATGAATGTCAGCGTCTCCTGCAACAAATTGCACTCGATGTTAATTAGTCCCGTGTCTCCAAACCGCGCTTTTAAATGACTTCTGTGACCCTCATTACCACACGGATTCCATCACAGGAAGAGACAAGACTTTGTAAATAGATAAAAGGACTAGAGAGGTCAGGGTGCCATCTTTGCTCCAGTTGGTACGGTGCTGCTATCAAAACCCCATCAGATAGAGTAATGGCAGAGGTCTGTACTCCACGACAACCTTGGTCCGGAACATCTGCCCTTGCTGGATGTTACATATCTTTTTGATGACAGTTCTAAAGAAACGCGCGCGCGTCTCATGTAATCTGGAGGGGTCGTTTTAATGTGTTTATTAATTTCAATAAACTAAACAGAATTTTTTTTTATTTATCAATATATGTGGTTCAGAAAAATGTTTCATTCTGCAAATATTTCGTTTGCAGTTGTTTGGATTGTTCGCAGAATGATCTACTTTGAACTCTGATCCTTCTGTTGCATATAATGCAATGGAAGCAAAATTGACATCAATTGATATCAATATCGTGAGGCCCACGGTGAGGATAAATTTTTTACCTACAGTGTTTTTACCCTCAATAATTAAAGTTAAATAAATAAACACTGAAAGTAGCATTATGGACATTACTGGTTAAGCCGTCACCTGAAACCAAAAGCTTCTGAATAGCACAAATGTCATCATCCTTTAATCTTTTAATTTCTTTATTCCCTTATTTTTTCACTCTTACCTAATCTAATAAATTAAATCAAAACATTAATCGGGGGACGTTTCAAAGTTGAGAGAGGCACGTGATAAAATGTTGGTTAAATTATTCAGAGTTGTACAAGCAGCCTTACGTCATGTACGACGCAATTAAACTTTTGCATTTCCTTAATTCCTAAATGTAGAAAGATTTCGTTTCAACTTTGCTTGGAATCATGAAAAAATGGGCTAATGACAACATGTTCGGCGAGTTGATTTCGTATTCTTTCAACGTCTGGGAGGCAGACCGCAAAAGGCAGTCATATCCGATGGTACGCTTTGGGGATGGAGTCGTTCACTTCCTACACCGCACCCTGAGACTCCGGGTGAACTAGAAACTCCCCTGCATCATCAACACAACATATTTGTGCCGGTTCTAATAATCTCTGACCAAATGTACAATATCTTGTTTCTTTAAACTCAAGTTAAATAACATTTTTGAAGCGGCAACAGAAAGCGCATAACAAGTAGGGGCGCGAGGGCCCTCGAAACGAAATCACAATAGAAGAATTCAGAGCACAAAAAAATAAAATAAAATAAAAAATCAGATAATCACAAAAAAAGCTATGAGGTCTTACTAACACCAGTAGCTGGCAGAAAGTCTTCCTCGAACCGAGGGGACACCAACAGTTGATACACAAACAATTTTTCGGTCTATCGTATGGGTCTATTTAAGCAAGAGAGTAGATAATTCCTTCTTTTATTTAAACAAGATCGTACGTTATCAAGGTGGAAAAGAATAACGGAAATGTTTATCAGCCCGCGTCACACTTATGTTGGGCAAAGACAAGATTCCGACAATGTTCTGAAGTCCAGGGAGTCAAAATAGGAACATCAGAAATATACGAGCTTTTAACTCTTTATCCTAGCACCTTAATCTTTTCAGGTGCTGTACATTAAAATTAGTTTGCGTGCATGAAGGTGGAAGAATGTTATGCCAGCTTTGAATTTATGAAACTTTGCTTCTATCTATTGCGCTATCCAAATAAAACGCTTGATGCATTTTATTTCGTGACAGAGAGGCGCAAGGATAATATGACATAAAATAAGTTTCGTGGATGTGCTCGCTTTTTGCCTACAACTGGCTTATCATTCTAAGCATTATTTAAGGCATTTGTATTGCAGAATAAACGTTCAATTTGTCCGTACCATCTCGAAAGACCATATTTGTGAATGCCCAACGTCAGAATAACTCACACACGTCTGTTATAATAGCTACACGGCATACGTACAAATTGGTAAAACTTAATAATTAGATAGGCCTATATGCAGTTCGCCGTAATAACCTTAAAGTTGGAGTATACGTTAATGTTTTGTTCAGACATACACATATAGGAGCTTTGTTTGTCTCATTACGTGATATTTCCATTCATGCCAAGGACCTATAAAACGAGACACTATCTCTTGAAGGTTGCATGCGGTAACAAATATAGAAAATGCACTTCTAATAGAAGTTTTCCCAGACTGTAATTATTATTGCGAAATTATTCCGTTTCGAATAAAAGGTCAGTATTTGTGTGTCACTGTTAAGTGGCACATCCTTTAATTTAGCATTGGGTGTCAGGGAACAGTTAATGTTATATATGGTGTTAAGGGAGAAAACTCTTTCCACACGCGAGGCACGCGCCGCCCCGGCTTATCCTGTGCCGTGGCGTTATGCAAATTAAGATGCCAAACTCAAAGGAGGGCTTTGTTTGAAGGCTGCTGAGTTATGCACGACGCTAACTTGCCTATTTAGCTGGGCTTCCTGGTGGCAAGTACCTGCGGCTCCTTTGTTGTCAAAACAGACAGGTTGAAATGGCATTTGTACTCTGGACTGACAACAGCAAGACGGGATGCTTTATCCTGCATTGGGCTCGTGATCCATCGTCTGCCATGATGTAATGTCAGTCACCTCTATCTCCTTTATCTTGTCTTGAAAGTTGTTATTTGTTAGCTGTTGTGGATTGACAGTGACTTCAGAATACGTGACCAAACTTCTTCTTCTTTGAGACAACTGGTGTGAATAAATTAACAATAAATAAATGGCCCCAGACAAAATTTTTTAAGTCGTTAATTCAAGGAGTTTTCCGGGAAGTTTACAAATCTTGCTACTAAGATGTGTCAAGGAGAAAGGATTAGTCTATTTATAAGAACAACAGCGACAAACTTGTTGAACGCCTGACGTATTTCTGCAGCTAAAATACCTTAGTTTAAAAATAAGCCTCTGTTAATCCCCATCAACACGACATTTTAAGCATTATACAAGTTTTCCCTGGCGACCTTTCATGACTTTCTCGGGTTCTTACTGAAACCTATGTAAGTTATAGATCTTAGTAGCCCAAATAGACAAAGGTTTAGAAATAAAGAACTTTCTACGCGGTAACAGTAGCTTGTTCTCCGTGTACTCATTATGGATGTGAAATCTTTGTTACATTATTATTGGAGTTATATTACCTGAGAAAATAATTATTAATTGAGAAAATAGGATTCAAAAACACAATGTTTAAGCATTTATTCAAAAAGTTGACACAGCAATTTCACTTCCAGCAGTAGTGCTTTATTTCGAGGACTTAAAACAAACTTAAAACAAAAATAACAGTACCTGTAATATGTATATATGCAGAACCTAGTAAATATCTCACTAAGGTAGCATCACTGCAGTGTGAAGCATATAGTTTCAGAATTCTTGGATATATAATTTCTTAATTTGAAGCTCTGCACAGGTTTATATCAACTTTCTGCTCTGTCCATCCGTGTTACCATCATACATATCAGATATCACCCGCTGCCTGGAGCCCCAGGCAAATTTAAAAAAAAAAACTGATATTTTTAATAAAACAACCTTCACAATTAAAAACACCTTACAAGTAAAACACTGCCACAATGTATAGCTGAATCTAAGCTGCTTAATTCACGAGTTCCGATTTAACATTAATCCTAATCAGTTATCTTATATGAACTAACAGTTAAGAGGCCAACTGAGAATAGCTCAGTTCCTGGTCTGGTTTCTATACAGGTTTAACTTGAAACAATGGAACATCAACCTAGTGTGACAAAATCACTTCCGTTATGTTTATTAATAATTTCAGGCATTTCCTCTCTACTCGCTATTGAAAGCAAATGATCTACATTGCAACAATTAAAAGAAAATGATACTCCTGTTCAACACTTACACATTTCTCAATCTCAGGAAATGAATTTGCTATTTGTGAGAAATTAACTTCAAACTGGGACTACCTGGACACACATGAAACCATGTTATATGACAAAAATTAAAGAATTATGAACTATTGTACACTGCAGAAAAATACGTATACAGAGCAGAAAGATTTCAAAAACAATTTCATACAAATACACAGATCTACCAAACTTTGAAAGTTTTATTGGACTTTGAAAAACACACACTATAGACCAAGATGGCAAGATTGTATCTATGATTCTACAAATTCAGTCCTCGGTGTACTTTTACATAAAAACCACTGTAAAAGTGTTCTGTATATAATTTTCTGATATAATACAATTTGTGCATTTTGTTTTTGTTTTTAAAACATTTACATAGTTACTGATTATTATATAGATTATTCACACTATATACAAAATTGAGATCACACCATTTATAAGAGGCTTAGAGCACTACTATGAAGAATGATGTCACAATGAACCTATACCATAGGCAGGGGACATTTATATATATATATCACCTATGCCTAATGAAAGGCACGGGCTTTAATTTGCAGTAAGTAACTATCTCTGAGCTTATGGTACCACATAAATTTGCTATCCTGTACTAAATATCACTGTAAGTTTTATTACATCAAAGAAAATATCAGATACCTTCTGGGAAATCAAATACCTTTCAGGTAAACATGTTCAGATTGGAACAATTTTTGGTTTTAAATTGAATGCAGTCCACAGTGAAGTTACAGCACCAAAATTGCATCTGCATGCTAGGTCTGTAAACTTTCCTCACCCTGTTTCAAATATCTCATTTTTCTTTTTTTTGCTCTTTATAACTGAGCTTGTGCTTTCCTTGAACACAGCACATACATTGTATAAACAACACCACGAAAACTGCCATTTTCTGCTCATCACATATTGCTATGTATATTTACATAAGGAAGAATGAGTTTATGGCACAGTTTGGATATTCACGTGAAGTATCAAGTGTGGACATACGTAGAGGAAATGACATTTTTCAACAGGACTGGACATCAGTCATTCAACTGGTGAGCAGCCACCATCTGAAAGAGACTATCACGGTCCTTTTCAGACATCTCCACATGGCAGATGCACCAAAGATGACAGGTCATTTTCCCTAGCCATTACTTTGCATGTTGTGTCATATCTATTATTTTCCCCCTTTTTTAAGGTGACATACACCAAGCTCTGTTTTTCTCATGTGCTGGGGGGCTGTCAACTTCTGGTTCAGCCTGGCCCTGCCTCTTCACATCCACTTCTAGTTTTTAAAACATACTGACGAGTTCTGTGGATATCTATCCTGGAGGTCAACCAGGAGGTCACCCACAGTGACCAGGTCACCTGGAGGTCACCAGTGTCCTATTTTAACACCTTCACATCATCCATTTCTCTTTTCTCTTAAGTCTGTGCCAAACACCATGTCTTAGTTTGCCACCACATCGTTTTCAACTGCTTTTCTTCCTTCCATGTTTGACTCCCTCCCCATTTTCCCATTCAAAAAGATACTATATTATCAACATATGTACAGAGTGCTGCCATTAACAGAAGCTATGTGTTCCCAGAATTCCTAGGAAGGACTGCAGTCAATCTCGATAATGTCTTTGGGGACTTCAGCAAACTGATATACGAGTCTCTGTCCATCTACCTTGTTGAGAATACCTCGAGCATAGTAGTACCTGGAAAATAAGAACAAATGACATTGAGGAGAGATGAAACTATGGTAAAGTACAATCCTATTTTTATATTCTCTGAAAATCAATTTGAGCGATGTTTCAAGCTTGTGTTGTATTAAGTATTGTATCATTACTACACCAAAAAATGGCAAACAATCCCCGGGACTTAGTTTCCCAGACAACTAATAAGTCTGTGAGTAAAAAGCATCCTGAACCACGATAAGCCGACTGGTGACATTCACCAAAACATAATGGCTACATTCAGCAGACATGCAACATTTACCACAACCTGTTTTCTTTTTTGAAATACCAGACAGTGACGAATCCACTTCTATAATTAAGCCTGCATCCCTTATGAAGTGAGGATATTTTAAAGGACAGTCAACCAATTCTCTAGTGTTGTTGCCACGGTGACGACTTATCTATTTACGTCAATACCTGGTTAGAAACACGATCACAGCTTATCTACCAGTCTTATTCCACTAGGAACCAACTTGTCTAATTATTTTGACAGAAAAAAATGTTGGCAGACTTCTCTGCACTTGGTAACATGACATTCCTTACTTGTGCCCTACCCAAAAATTCTTTTTTAAGTGCAAAACAATAAATAAATAAGAGAACGCACAACGGCTAAATTTAAACTGGAAATGGACAACATGTAATCTAAATGGCAAGCCATTAATTCAGACTTTAAAAAATCTGTTCTATAATTTTCAAATATGGACTGGTTACTGTCTGTTTCACACATTACATAAGGTGTACTGCTTAGAACCCATCAGTGACAGACACTAATATGACACCGTTTCACCTCTGAAGGAACCCAATAACTCTGGTAAACAGTACCCACTGAGGCAGCAGATGCATCTGATGTTACATTATGACAATTTTTTTCCCTACAAGGGTTTGGTTGCCACACAACTGAAAATGAAAATGTAACCATGTCCTAGTGCCTTGCACAGAGATCTCACTATATTTTTTAAATTACCGTTTTTATATCTGTGTGTGTGTGTGTGTGTGTGCATGTACGTGTGCATGTATGCATGCATGTGTGTGCCCACACACGAAATCATACAGACCACACACACTACCACTTAACTCTCATCACCGTTCACAGCATTCCTCTTCCCCGTCTAGAGAAATGTCCATGACCCACTCACCGTAAAGCTCGCCCCATAGTTTCATAGTTCATATCTGGTTTATTCTTGTGGATTCCCCATAGTTTGGACACTGCCTTAGAGTCCACCAGTTTGAAGATCCCTTTTTCTCTGCTGGTCCATTTGATATACCGCGGACACGTCTCTTTGTTTTGTAGCAGTTGTAATAAGAACTCCCAAAGGTATGTTGTGTTACCTGAAAAGATGGGACCAGATACGATTCATGTAGCTCCAAATCATATAACACCATGCTCATGTGTAATAAATTTATTAATAACTCAATTTAATCAATACAAATATTTTTCCATCTACAAAAACAAAACCTAAGGCAAAACATTTTGTTTACATTGTAGACTAAGCGTACATGATCCAAGTCATCCTCCACACCATTATTCAAGTTTGAGGATTTTCTAAGATATCTCAATGCATGATTAGTTTTTATTTTTCAAATGGTCATGAAACTTCGCAAGTGCTGCTTTGAAAAATCAACACCAGCTGGAGGCAAGTCTTGTGCACACCTCACTTTTTATTCCCAAGCACATAATAGGTGACATGTGTTTGGGGAAATTTTAAGGTCCCATTTCTAATGAAACAAATGTTCTACATAGATCAATCCAACGCTGCAGGGACTGTTGCTGAGTGCAATCAGATTTAAAGCCTCCTTTTGTATTCTGCTCTTTGCCTAAAGGAGGTGTGTTAAACTGTTGACCTGACTGCATTCAGTGAGAGACTCCACGGAGTTAGATCGATCCAAGTAGAATGATAGTTTTATTGGGAATGAGCCCTTAATGTCTCCAGTGTGTATTTGCTGGTATACAGGTGAACAGCCTGCTTATGTCACACCATACTTACCATCCCTTTTCCTCTTCTGTGGAATGGGGGAAGACTCCAGACTTTTTGTTTTACGCCCTGAAAAATAAAAAAAGAAATCTTTTAAATTGTCCTACAGCAAAAATTAAACAAAATTATTCATCTGTCAATAAGTTTGTTGAAATACAAACTGTTATCATTCACGAAGTTGACAAATAATTACATAAACAAACAAATGTTTTTTTTTACATTCTACTCTACAATTAACCATCTCCCAACAAGAAGTCCATAAAATAAGAGACTATTTAAATACTAAATTTTATGTTGTATTATGTACCAAATATCTTTAATCAATGACCTATAAATGTAGTTCAGTTTTGTTATGACACAAAAAATGGACATAAACTTCTAAAAACATCCAAGTGAAACCACTGGAGAATTGACAACCCCTGGATGTCAGGTGTCACGCTGTGTCCACAGGTAACACCTCCCCTGGTATCTATGTGTACAAGTCACAGCTAGGACAGGGGGGCAGGGGACAGAGGCACCACTTCAACACTAACACAGTCTAGATTCCTGTGATGTGACATGAACAGGGACCCAGGCAGGGGACTGGGGACTACTGTGGTCCTTTGTCCAGGGGTATACCGTTGCACAGTGGGAGTGAGTGTGGGTCTGGTGACTTTGTACAGAAAACGGGGAAGATTGTAGTAATGTGTATAATTGATAAGGGGAACATGTATTAACAGGATTATCAAAAGCCAGATGTTGCAAAAAATAAAGAAAGAAAGAAAAAATAAAATAACGTGATAAATAAATAAATAAAGCACATTTGTGACTTTGCATTGAAATGGAACAAAAATCTAGCACTTTATATATTTTCGCAACTCTCACTCTAATTTATTTTTTATTAAGTTGTGATCATTTAATTGTGCAAATATATAATTTATTTATATTTGTGTAGTTTTATTTCGATTGATCATCATGTTGTTCTGCTTCGCATTGTGTAGAGTACTGAAACACATCTCCCCAATGACTCAATATCCTTTCAGATCTGACGTCAAAGCGAACAAAGATATTTTTTACAACTGAACCTAAGCGCCATTAACTAAATGAAACCATGCAATACAAGAGATTACAAAGCACACACACCCTGGAAAAACTAGATAGCCATCCACACCCACTAGGATCTTTAGGTTCACTATCACAGAATATTTGTTTATTTGTTGTTATGCTAAACATATTGTGAGACTTATTTATATCTGTTCCAACCCAATAAAGCTATACCACTGCTGTTCATCTGTCAACATGACTTTGTGATTGATAATTGGCTTGGAGCAGATCATTTCATTGTGATTCTTATGCCATTTCTGCTTAAAAATATTCTAGGCTTGGTAACACTGACATACAGTAATTCTACCAGTATGTTATCAAAGAAAAGACAGTATAAAATTATCTGCAAACTTTGCTATTAAAATGACCTTTTATATTTTGATGCTAACATAAACAATGATAAGAAAATTTCACTAAATAAATGTTATGCACATTTTAACCGTTTTCAGGGACTGCAACAGTAATATCCTTACTATTATTATTAATATTAATTTGATATGTAAGGTCAATAATCTTCAGCCCACAGCTACCCCTCCTCCACAATATGTGTATTATTTATTAACACAAGGTTATTTTTTCTCTTTGCGTAATGTAAGATATCTTAGCACTGTTGTGCCAAAGCCAAATCTATGCAAATGATGCATATTTTTCAGGAAGATAAAAAATCATTATACAAAATTATTTTGATGAGGGGAAAATGGGGGAAATAGAATTTTAACAATAAATTAATTTTGCTTGCTTGGCACAGCTTTTTTCTTTTCTTTTTTCTTTTTTTTTTTACATATCAACATGTTTTTCTTTGCAGCACCAGTGAAATTACACTAAGATTCATTCTCATGACAGAAATATACTGGTAGCATGCAACATACTGTCTGAAAATCCTGAAAAAACTAAGAATCTCCTGGCAAATGCATTCACACCAGACATAAGTTAAACAATCAATATGGTAACTGAAGTCACATCATGATCTTAACTGGTCAAGATAATATTTATAACCCTAAGATGTGATGGGTTCTTATGTTGTCCTATTCCTCCTATGACATCATTAAGACAATTTCCGGGTAAATTTAGACCTCTTGTGAATACATCTGGAGATTTCTTTTAGTGCCTAAATCATGTAATGGTGACTGTATAATTGACTCCAACATTTAAAATTTATATATATAACACGCATTTAACATTATATGTAATGGATTACTTGGTTAAAAAAAGTAGCAGAAAGAAAGGCCATTGACTCAATGACAAAAAACCCCGCATAAATGTCACTTTTTTGGAGTCACCATATTTTATATCACATAGTTAAGGGGTAGGCAGCTTCTTTGAGGATATCAGCTCATCATTTTCAGATCAACTTTTTAAGAATGATTCACACAGAAAATCCCGAAATTTGTGGCAATCTTATCAAAAGGCCATCTAATCATCTCAATGAAACCGTCAATAAAAACAACGACACGGCATATCGGAGACAACTCTCCTCGCTTCCGTCATTCACTAAGAGTGTCTTACATAACCTTCGGTTTGGGTATCACAGAGATGCATCTTATCTCTCTCTGTGATTCACTCTCTTGTGCCTGTAATCCCTATCATACACTATCTAAACAGACACGTCCACCCAGTCCAAATCATTATTGGTCAGCATACTGTGGCTTCTGGGCAGTTAGTGGTCACTGTATTGGATGTAGTGGTGGACAGTCTGATATCTAAGTGGTCTGTATCAGGAAGATATGATGCTCAGACCCAATAAACAAGGTTTCAGAGGTCATTATAACCTGTGACTTTATGGAAAATTAACTTCATAATAAAAATGAGATGAAAGAAGTGACTTAATAAATTTCTAGTGACCTTTAAGTTGCAGAACCAACAAAGAAACATATAATCTATTTTTTTTTATCAGCTTGTAACTAGTGTCCTTTAGGTTGTGGAACCAACATAAAAACATATAATCAATTATTTTTTCCTATCCACTTCTGATGATTTTTTAAACAAAAGTCTGCCAGTTTCCAATGTTCAGAAGAGCCTGTAGATGGGCAAATTGTAACAGAGCTCAGATAGATGATAAGTCAATCAGTTTAATCAGGACAGATACCACAGTGAAAACGCTGCTTGTTTAATGAGTGCCACACATGTATCTGCTTCATTTATCTATTTATTTTTATTATTATTTATTTATTTATTTTTGGTGAATAGTTGTCATTATCAACTGTTTGTAACTTGAAATTAATTTCATTGTATTGTACTGCAAGATTACCATGGGTAATAACATTTTGTTCTTCACATAAAATTAGCCTATTACTGATAACCCCACCCCCTTTTTAAAAAATAAAGTACGTGCAATCTAGTATGGGGTTACTATTTACTATCATTAAAACTTTGAGTTCTGTTGTATGGGTGAATTTACAAGGGCGGAACTGTGGTTTTCCTATCTGTAAGAACAAGATAATGACAGAATTAGGAGACATCAACATGTAATTGTTATGTTTTGAGTACCATCACAGTCTGAAAATGGGAATACCTTGCAAATTGTGTTGCCCAGTGCACAGACTTTATGCTTGATGTGTCCCTGTAAATGACTTATGTGCCAGCGTGTGTGTGGGTGGATGATGCTACACAGGGATGATCACATAAAACAGATAGTATACTACACAAGAGATAACACAACTGTGTGTGGATACGAACAGGTGTTTGTATGTGCGTGTGTGGTCATTTACTGGCATGGAAGATCCTGAGTTGTGTTCACATCTGATCTAACTTAGGTCCTTTTTCACATTTAGAATATTACAGTGCTTTTAGCTGGACCAACTTATAGAAACTGAGCAGTCTAGACCAAATAACAGAGCTTCAGCATTAGGCAAAGCAAATTAACTAAAAAGCAGGTAGCAAACTTGTGAAGTACTTGCAAAAAAGGGAGTAAAGCATCTCAAAGTGGATTGGTAAAGTTAAAAGTACAGCATGATTTGAAAACTTGGGCCTTAATTGGAGCTAAAATGGCCAAACTGTAGTCTTTGCATTGTTTAAATTACCCAAGAAATCCCGCATGATGTAATCTGGTCATTTAAGGATGGCTTTTAATCTACCTCCAGTCTAAGTTGACCCTGCTGTCAACAGAGCTTCCTCTTACTTAATGTGATATATGGGACTTGCTTTGAGTTTTAATCTGAACCGTTTCCGTCTTAATACAAGAAAGCAGTCTGTGCCACTGATCCCAAGGTTGCGTAGGTTTTGGCAAGAATGTTTGCACAAGTACAACATTCCTTTTCAAATCATAAAAAAAGTTATCCAACCATCCTTTATCCTTTTTCTTCTATTTTCAAATTTCTAGACACTAACTGTTTCTAAGAATGATAGAAAAGAATTCATCTATCTTCTTTATTTCTTCTTCTTCATCCGAGTGAGAGAGAAAGGGTAGGGTAAGGCATTTCACTTGTCTCACTTGTCACCAGATTAATAACAATAACAATGGTGTCATCTTTTGACATTTCTGATTTTCAAAATATCACGTCTTCTCTAAACAATAAGTCCCTGGAGTGACTACAAATGGTTTTAGCCATCATCACTTTAGGCGTGGTCTTCACTAGAACATCATATAATATCTACCCTGGCTATGACTGCTACGATGACTCAAATTGGAACATGGCTTGCTGGCTGCACATGGAGCTCAGGTTTCAATAACACATAAAAAGCCTTTTTTTTTTATAAACGAGGAAATATGAAGCAGGAAGAGAATGTGAGACGGGTAAAGAATTTGGCTATGCTGCACTTAACATGACACGTTTTACGTCATAATTCTGCTGAGAATGTGATTGAAATGGAATGTAAAGCCCTTTTCTTTTCACATCATGCAGTATACTCTTCATTATGAGAGATTGCTAACTGAATAACCCGGTTCTTACTCATTTGAAAGTCATTTAAAGAGACCCCAACCAACCCCCACCCCCAACCCGATGTAGCCACTTGACCAGATTAATTTTGATTGACCCAAACAATTTGAAAGGAACTGTGAAATGGGTGCACACCCCCCCCCCCCAAAAAAAAAA